GCGACTTTTTTGGAAGCAATAATTTGGCAGCCTTGAAGTGCGGCAGACGTTGCGCGCAAAGCAATGTATACAACCACGTGTTAACGATGGTTTTAGTCTAAGATTTAAAAATCGTTAGATCTCCGCTGACGTCACAAATTCTAAAGGGGCATTCCAATGCATTAGCCCCTTAGAATCCGAAAACTGCAAATTTGAAATTCCATATCACCGAATTTAAGCATTTTTCGATGTTGTGAGTGCCCAAACCGGTATTTGCAGGCCATGGCCCCCAATTTGGCTATCTCAACTCAAAAAATAAGGTTAAGGTGGGATGGTCACTTTAAAGCTGCAAACATGATACTTTCGAAATCAAAATAGGCTGTGCGGCACGACCATCTACACTTGTGGTCAGGTCCGCTATGCAGGAATGTGGGCTACATAACCTTCACGCCGATCGAGCGACTCTGTGACGTCACAATAGCGTGACGTGTGCCGTATCGACTGCGGCCATGGGTCCTTACAAGCGGCTGCACTGTTATCGCGTTGCCACGATACCAGACGACAACCCGGGTGGGTAAAGAGAACGGACGACAAATAGGGATGGGCTGCACACCACGCACCCAATTCATGGTCAAGCAGGGCTAAGCTATGGCGATTATTAGTTTTATTGACCCATATTGTCGTCAAAACAACATTCCAAAGCCCGTGTCCCGTGACACATTGTTGATTGGTGCAGCCCGCCAGCCGCTACATGTCAAATAGGAGGGTAGTGTGACGTTAGGCGAAGATTCGATCACGTTTAGCGATAAAAGGAAGGCATCATCCGAAATGTCTCATGTTGATGCCTCAATAAGTTTTTCATTATCATGAAACATAAGATTCATCGAATTTCGTGAGTTTCAAATGACTCAACTTAGTTCAGTGAAGGCGAAGTATAAATCACGCTTAGGTATCTTTTGCCGTTTGTTTTGTGTTGTTAGACTAGCAACACATCGGCATAGGTTTGGGTAGAAAACGGTTATCATAACCGGCATGGTCATCATTGGTGGTTCTAAACAAAATAATTTGCTATGACATTTGACGGAATATAATAAAAGAAAGCATTCGCAAGACCGATGTAACAACTATCTTGCCGATTAGCCGCGAATGGGAAGTAACGTTAAAATAGCAGGATAATATACGTGCGATACTTTAAAAAGTATGTAATTCAGCTCACATATTTTCCTCACTGCATGATAGCGAGTGAGGGAGCGACCACTCCCTCACTGCAAGTGCAAACCACTATTCCAGCTGATCGTTGTTTTTCGCATTCAGCCCTGTCCCATCCGACGGCCGTGTGCTCCTCCCTGCAGGACGTGCGGCCCGGGCACCGTGTTCTGTATGAGCTCGGGCCACTGCGAGCCGACCGGAAAGGGGTGCTCCCCTCAGGCAGCATTCGGCTGTCGCGGCGGCACCAGCTACTGTATGACAGCGGCGCGGTGCCTGCCCACTCCGTGCCCCGCTCAGGTGAGGCTGCCGGCCGTCTGTTTCAGCTTACACAGGTGAGGAGATGGCCCTAGCCGTGCACTGTGTTTTCAGGTGAGACGACTGGCGCTGTATCTAACCTACTAGATTGAAGGTCAGCTCACCCTTTGGCGTGGTTTTGTGGTGTGCAAATCAAATTTAACCAAAGATAAACAGATTTTGAATTCTGCATACGCTATGAGCTCACGGATATTCTATGTTTAGTGCTGAACATATAGCTTGACTACTTGTTAGATGCGTTTAATATAAACTGATTGGTGTGCTCTAGCTGCTATACTAAAAGTGTGCCCGTGAATGCTGATTGCCGTGAATTTCTCAATATGTAACTAAATGTTTTTTTTACGTTACATCCTCGATAATCAAAGTAAATTATTTCCATTTTCCTCTATGGCTATTCCGTACGGAGCTTCAGCCTACAGGGTGTCTCAAAAGTTCGTTGACAGGTACAGCCCGCCGCTAAAGTAATGTAGGGTTTTACCAATCTCAACGGTTGGCTTTTACTGGCGCTTGTTTAATGCGGAGTGATCGAAAAGAAGATGTCAATAGCTAAAGTTGCAGCTGCAAGGGTGACGATACATATAAGCTACATTCAAAGTTTCATTGTAGTCTGGTTAATCGTTCCTAAGCTTCAGAAGCAGAACATACCCATGACTGAAACCCCACATTACTTCTGCTGTGGACTGTACCAGCCATGCTTTTTTGTCAATAATTCTGAATCAACAAGAAATAAACAGTCGAAATTTTGCATGGGCATTGGTAACAACCTTCCTTTAGCAGTTTCATTGTTTTCAAGCGCATTTGACCCTTCATGAGCTCACTAAAAGGGTTCACCTGTGACCATGGATCAGGCATGAAAATGGAGGTCGCAAAATCGGGTCGGCTGAGAAACTCTCTGCTTCTCAGGTGTAATGGAAATGGTTAGGTCGGAAATGACACATGGCAAAGTGTCGGCGAGGATGAGTACAACACAATGATCATCTAATAAAAACGAGTGGCTAATTTTTTTGAAGGACGAAACCATGCGAGACTAACAGCGTTTTGAACGACCCTTGTACGGCAGCAGACTCGTGCTCCGGAAAGCAGCTGAAAATGCAGTGCTAACTATTAAAAACTGAATAGAAGCTCACAGACAGAGGTTACCCAGTTTCAAAAATTGCAGGTCATAATAAAATAAAGACAAAATTTCATTTAGAATTGTTTATAATATCTAAAACGCTACATTTTTGGGGAAAATAACACGAAAATCGTCAATGCCGAGGACAAGTGACCCTCCAAAAGTGTCAATTAATGTAAAGTTGTATCTTACGAAGTTTCAAGAGGCAGATCTGGAGCAAATAGCTTTCTTTTACACACAAAATCCGGACAAAACCGCACGATGGACAGGTTTTGGCCGTTTACAAAGCAGAACTTCTCCTGAGGAAAACACTCCGGAACCCAGCGAAGGTCTTGGCATGGGGAATGGCGAGCGTTTGGGTTTTGCAAAATTTGTAAAATGTGTCTAAGAAACAGATGGCCGACACATTCTGCTACGATATGTATGCTGCGAAAAATTTGCCCCTGGCACTTCCCATTTGTTCAGGAATGGGGTTGTTTTGAAAAGGAAAGTGGTGCTTGGGAGGTCGGCGCCAGTCATTCATGAAGGAGTTAGCGCCAGAGAAGACCTACAAAATACTCACGGATGGTGTCGATGCAAGCTGTCGGCTTTCAGGGAGAAGCGGATGTTGCTGGGGAGCTCGTCAAACCTAAATCCGACGCACGGTGCGAACTGAGCTACCCTCAGTCCTCGGCTGCGAGACTGGTCATTAAGCCTCTCATCGTAAACTGTACCCGTTTCTCAGTAGGCAAACACGACAAAATTGGTTAAGCTTGCGAGCTAAAATCTTTTGTTTTAGAGCAGAAAATAAATGACACCAATTACTTATCTGCAGGGAAGGCAAACTTTAAATTTCCTCATAAATTTTAGTCAGTTGAAAGAACCCGTGCCTAGTTAGTCTATGACAGGTGGACGCCTGAGAGATGACTTGTGAAATAAAGCTTCATTTGATGAAAGTATGAATAACAGGAAAGAAGACGTAAAAAATAGAAAAAAGATTAAGACGAAAATATTTAAAAAAGGCCGAATGTCAATAAATACCCACTGATGACGAGAAAAAATAGTGCATGCATTTTTTTTCAGACATATGTCAATTTCAGCGGTTTCCATAGAGGTGATGTCGTGTGCTTTACCGGCCTTTTCCGTCTAACTGGACCATCCTCCCGGCGCTCACTAGTGCCGTCTGTGTGCCCCTGTAGGCGCAGCCGCCGGCCTCAGGACACCCGTGTCCGCCAACCCAGACCTTCTGCGTGTCCACTGGCCGGTGCGAGCCCGCGGAGGCCGGCTGTCCGACGCCTACCTGCCGACCCGGCACGGTCCCCTGCCCGGGGGTGGCCGCCTGCCTGCCGCCCTCAATGTGCCAGCAGCAGGCGAGCTGTCCTTCCGGTCAGATCTTCTGCCTGACTAGCGGCGATTGTAGGCTCCTCGACCAGTGCCGTCGCCCACCAGACTCAGGCACCGAGATCTGCACTGCCGGCATGACCTTCTGCATGAACACTGGAGGATGCGTTCGTGGCAGTCAATGTCCTGCCAACCCCATCTGTCCATCTGGAACGGTGTTCTGTCTTCTCATCGGAAGATGTGCCTCAGAATGTCAGTCAAGACCACCTGACAATGCCACCTGCCCAGCTGGCACTTTCTTCTGTCAAAATAGCTCTAGTTGTGTTCCTGAAGGACGTTGCTATAGCGACCAAAACGAACAAAACAACAACTGTACTATGGGATTCGTTTTCTGCAGTAAATTTGGACGCTGCGTTTCTCCAGCTCAGTGTCAAGATTCCCCTCCTGGAAATCATTCATGCGCTGAAGGATTTGTGTTTTGTTTCCGCTGGAACAAATGCATAAAACGTGAAAGCTGCACGACAACCATATGCGCAAATGGCCTCATCTTCTGCAAGAAGAGTGGACGTTGCCAGCCCAGTGGAGCATGCCAGCGAGAAGAACTCGACGGTAGCTCCTGTCCGGAGGGCTACGTCTTCTGCATGGAACAAAACGGATGTGTGCCTGCCGAAAAATGCCGTCAGCAGCCTTCAGAGAATGCCTGTCCTCAAGGTTTCACCTTCTGCAACGGCACTTGCGTACCTCAAAATCTCTGTCGACCAGAGGAACAGCCGACCGCCGAACGGATCAAGTGCGACGACGGCCACACTTTCTGTATGCGCACGGGCTCCTGTCATCCACCCGGTCGCCGCTGCCGTCGTCAGGCCGGGAGCTCCTGTCGCCGAGGACACGAGTTCTGCATGTCGACTGGCCAGTGCAGGCCCAGTGGCAGCTGCGCTACGCCCACACGCTCCTGTCCGACCGGACAGACCTTCTGTCTCTCCACACTGGGCTGCGTAGCGAAGGAGCGATGTTCACAACGTCCAAGTGGTAGCAATGAGAGCGACAGTGAGTCATCGACCACTGCTGGTGGAGAGGCGAATTTCACCACTCCTCCAGCCGTCTCAACGGAGACGCCGGCTACTGGCCAGGTAACTTCTGACACTACAACCACTGTATCTGTGAGCACCGCAAGTGAGCTGTATGTCCCAACCGAGACGGTGACCGATGTTTTGCAGACTTCTCCCGAGTCTAGTACGACTGAAGACGGTTCTGTTCCGACTGATGCCGGTTCGTCTTCTACGGTCAGAACAGCTACCGAAGGATTGCTTTCAACAACCAATGTAAGCGAGGAAGGGATTCTTCCAGAAGAACCAACAACGGCCTCTCCGCCTTCCTCAACAATGGATGTCACCAAAAGCGGGTCGTCAACAGCAACATCCATCAACAGCACAGTTCTTGAAGGAGTCGACACAACAACTAACAGCCAGGATGAAATCACACCTTCAGTGGTCACCGAGGGGACCCAACCAAATTTAGAACCAGGAAACCAAGTAGCCGGAAATGACACCACCACTATGCGTCCAGGAACGACTGGACAACCAGTCGACGATGTCACTGTGACCAGTGCTGCTGAGTCAGCCACGAACAGAGAAACATCCACATCCACATTACCAACCTTCCCCGAGGAGGTTGTTACCGAAGCTGAAGCCACAACTGTTGCAGTGGGACGGACCGATGTAACCACCCCCTCAGAGACCACGGAGGATGGGCAGACATCTCCCTCCACCAGTGCTCCAACTGGCCCAACCGACGTTCCTCTCGATGATGAAACCGTATTCACGACGACTCACAGCACCACTGGTGCCAACATGTCAACCTCTGAAGCTACCACCAGACAGGCTGCTACATTCGGAACTGGCCCACCACAGACTGGGACACCCGAGACTATAACAGCTCAGACTCCGGCTTCCGAGACAATTTCAACGCAGACGGTGACATCCGAGACAGTTTCAGAGCAGACAGTGACATCCGAGACAGTTTCAGCGCGGACTACGACATTCAGGACTGAAGCGACGGAGACTCTGACTTCCAAGACAGTCTCGGTGCAGCCTGAGACCACAAGCATGGGTGAGGCAATGACTTCGACAGCTGATGCATCCCAGACGGAGACCAGTGCGGCAGAGACTGATGCGACGCAGACTGTAACCACATCATCTGCAGCAACGCAGACTGTGAATCCAACAACGGATGTCTCTCAGACCGAGTCCCCCGAACCGGACGAGACTGACATTACAATAACCGACAGCCAGACGACAAATGGTCGTACAGTTGAACCAAGCCCTTCCCCAACTACGACTCCGGAAGATTCCACGACCGAAATAGCCGTTACAGTAGCTGAACCAATGGACACAGTCACGGTTGACGTAGGCCTTGACTTCACTACTGCCACTCAACCTGACCTTTCATCTCTATCCTCTGTGAGTAGTCCAGGTCCCACTTCCTCCACCGAGTCCAGCACGAGGACAACATCAGCGACTTCTGCATCCAGTGAACAGGTAACGTTCAGTCTCTCGGTGTTCCCACCTGCCAGCCCTGTCACGATCGACACACAGCCGTTTTTGGGAGCTGGACGACCCCATCTGGAGTTTGAGGACTCCACGCACAGCCGTGGAGGGACGAGCGCGCCCGCCTCAGTCCTCGCAACACCATCAGCATGGGATCGGGACGATTTCTGCAGGATCTCACCACACTTTATGTGGCAGGGAGTGCATGCTCTCACATGGTCACGGCCATGCAATTTTTGAGAGCCATTCGGTGTCGCTTGTTCGTATGTGCCTGCTAGTACTGCTTCGCTGTGATCGTTTTCAGGGCTGATGGTGATTTTGAGGAGAAATTGGTTTTGTATCACATGGAATCGTCCTTTTTTGCCTCGTATTGAGATGTGATCCACAATTCACTGAGCGCATATTTCCCTTTTTATAATGAACTGGGATTGTATCATGCGGAGACGTTCACGTGCATAGACAGTAGAGTGCACCGAATGATACACTACTAAACAATTGCACTTGTGTAGCGTTGCAAAATGTAATGATCCTCGTAGGTCAAGGGCGATTAGTGAACTCAGACCGCCTAAGCGATAAGAATGCATTAATATCGTCATTTCCCATCCCGCGGGGTTTCGGCCAGTTGTTTCTCCAGCCATCCTCGCCTGTGTCTCTTTGAGGCTTTGGTGTTCACAACCATACGTAAAGCCGATTGCCGGTACTACGTCAGTCGTTTCGCCTAAGAAAGTTTTGTTGCCAGCAAGCAATCGAAGCTCCTACCTCGCCACATGTGAGCATGGGTAAATTCATAGAGTGGGGAGGCATGAGGGCAAAATGTAGCCATATTCGTGGTTGAAGTGACTAATTGTCTGAGTTAATTTCACAATTGCCTATCCTTTTATTCCGTAAATTATATTGATGTGTCTCATAATCGGGGAAACAGCTGGCCGGAACGCCGTGATTTTAGACCGGTATAGACGTCCTCCAATAATGATTTACAAGCGCATCATGGCTTCCAAATCAATCATTTTTGATGCCTCAATTAAAAGCTTCAGTTTCATTGAAATATATTTCCCATTATGACACACATCACCCGGCATTTGAAGTTCTGTGCGTGAGCTTCTACCTATAGCTTAACTCGTCAATACGTTTCAGCCCGAGGACCCGCCGAAGCCAGAGCAACAATGCGAGGAAGAGGAAATGTAAGTGTGCACGCTGCCGCAACCGGCAACTCATAGCTCAAGGGCGACGCATGGTGACACGCCTATCATTATTCGCATTCCCATCGAGCTACATGTTTTGATTTGTTTCCTTAGTACTCATAAATAACTCATGCCATAATTCTATAACAGCAATTGACCCAATGTCAGCCAGACAACTTAACCTTCCACGCTTCCACTCATCTCTATGTATCTCTATGTTCCACTATGTATTGTTCATCTCTATGCATCTCTATGCACAAGTCATGTTGCCGATACTCAGCATATCATGTTATCGATGCTCGATACAAATTGTATGCCTAAAACGGAGCTAAAACATATGAAGCCTGCGTCGGTTCTAAGGAATAGTCAAGTCGGCATTACTGTAGCGATTCGAAGCCTCCCACTCGTCTCGTAGTTTTCTAATTTCATGCCGACCGCCGTTCCGATCCGCAGATTTTGTGCCATCTCCGGCCAGTGCCAGCCGTCGTCGGAGCCCTGCGGCACAGTCTGCCCACCGAGTCACGTGATCTGCGCCGGGAGGACCGGCTGCGTCTCGTACCGCGACTGCAAGAGTAGGTTCAATCGGAAACTGAAATAAGGTTGTCGTAAATACTACTTTTCTATGTACGTTTGCTTGTTCGCTTCAAACGTCTTATTGAATGGCGACAGATCAGAGATTTAAAATTTTCCTGCAAGATCATCGATGAATTTGCTAAAATCACATTAAAAGTGTGGCTATATTCTGCGGCATTTCTGTCTCTCAACCATCGCCGGGCATCGCAGCTGGACAGAGACTAGAGAGCTAATGTAAGCAGTGATCTATCGAAATGTTCTGGTGCTTTGGGTGATGATTCTGATGCCATTTAAACAAACAAAGATTCTGATGCCATTGCTGTCACCTTCAGACGCGACCGGCACCGGTTTGGCGTGGACGCTGCCATCCGCCGTGTTGCAGGACTCCAAGGAGGCGCCGGCTGCCGCCGCTCTGTCCTCACTGCTCCACTCTGTCGCCGTCGAGGTGAGCTACACCTGCATCGTCAGACCCTCCTCCCTCTCTCTCTCTCTCTCTCTCTCTCTGTCTCTGTCTCTGTCTGTCTGTCTGTCTGTCTGTCTGTCTGTCTGTCTGTCTGTCTGTCTGTCTGTCTGTCTGTCTGTCTGTCTGTCTGTCTGTCTGTCTGTCTGTCTGTCTGTCTGTCTGTCTGTCTGTCTGTCTCTCTCTCTCTCTCTCTCTCTCTCTCTCTCTCTCTCTCTCTCTCTCTCTCTCTCTCTCTCTCTCTCTCTCTCTCTCTCCACCCTCCTGTGACCTCTCTCTCCTTCTGCCCCTGCCGCAGACCCTGCTGGACGCTCAGGTGGTGCAGTCCATGGCAGTGGAGGACGCTGACCCCGGCTGGTGGGTGTCGGACTCCGCTGACGGACTCTTCCAGAGCGTCGCCGCCGACTCCACGCTGCGGCTGAACCAGTTTGTGAAGTTTCGACCGTCGCTCGACGGCGGGCTCGGAGTCAGGCGCATCAGCCTCGCCCAGGACGCTGGTAGGTACAGCTGCTGCTGTACGATTCGTGGATTGGACTTATCTGAGCCAATATAGCATCACACGTTTTGAACTTTTTAATTTTTTATACATCATCGCTTCACCGCCCATTACATACCACATTATTTCAAGGTAACAAGCAGTACAAATATTAAAAATGCATAACGTGATGCAATAACAGGACAGATAGCTGTATCGGGATGAGTGCTGTTGACGCATTTTGCACCGGGGTCCGTGACTGAAAGAGACCAGTGCCGTTTTACCGATTAGCATGCGCATACAAGGACGTGCTGAGACAGTTTGTGGTCCACGCTCCCTTCTTCACCACCTCGACTGCTGTATCTCCAGACCAGGACACTGTGCTGCGCTACTCCGTGGTCCAGTACGTCCTCCCGTCCACCAAGCTGGTCAACATCACCCAGACCGAGTTCACCATCCCGGAGGACCAGCCGAGCACCCTGCGGCTCTCGGACGTCATCCAGATCACCGACCCGGCGACCGAGGACGAGATGGGTCAGTTATATGCAGCCCTTCGGTTACTCTGATCCTTGCGGGGACGGTAAAATTGAATATAGAGATAATGTTGGAGACTGATAACGTTTCTCTTTCCTGCAACATTCTTTCTCGTCTTCTTAAACGATTAGCTATGCGCAGCTCGAAGTTTTTGGGCGTTTTATTGACGACGTTCAGTAGTTAGTCAGTCGGTGTAAAAGTGTTGCATGAGTTCTGACATTCACCTCCCCTGCTGCTCAGGCCGGCTGAGGACGTCTCTGGCGGCGGCTGACCTGGACCGGACGGCTGTGGGTTACCGTCAGCTGGACTCGCTGCTCCAGCCGACCGTGCCCGTCCGCATCGCCTACTCCCGTCCACCAAAGCGTCGCTCGGAGGTGCCCGGCACCCTGCTGCTGTCAACCGCCGGCGACCAGGACAAGTGGGTGCCTCGGAACACGAGCGAGGAAGGTCATAAAAGACAGATGTGTAGTGATGTTTTCTTATAATATTCCCGTTTTTCATGCATCGTTAGACTGTGCCTATAAACGACGAACCCATAATATTGCGATCTCTTTTGAGCGGCCGAGATTTCATGCGATTTCATCGACTACTCATGTTGAGGTTCTAAGTTGAGTTAGTGATCACCTGTGGTGTTTGGAGCGACATGTAACTCGCTGGTGTTACTGTGAGCTGCTTGTCCCGGTGTCGACAGCTGGACGGAGCACAGCCTCGAGCAGCAGCCACTGGAGCTGCAGCTGCCGCGGGACCCCTCGGCCGCCGACCAGCCGCTGATCACCTTCATGCCGCGGCCCGACTTCCAGGGCGTCGTCGGCTTCGACATCAGCGTCAGCCTCGGCGCCGCCACCACCCCGGCGCAACTGACCGTCACGGTATGTGCAGCACTGACTCAAACGGTACGTCCAGCTGGCGAGCTGACCAGCTGAGTCTCCAACTGTCCACATATAATACCGGTCACCAATTTGAATCAATGCATGTAGACCGTAGCTTAGCCAATGGCCGTATGACCGGTTTTCGCGATAAATTGCTTTTTGTCCTCTAACTTGTTACTCTTGGGTCTCGATCGCTATAAACATTCATCATGGCCAGTCATGCATAGCCAACTGATTGCATGTGTTCCATTGTTGATATTCAATCTAAGCACGCGGCACCAAGCCCTGTCGTTTTAAAGGTTTTGTGCTGTGACTTTGGTGCCATCCCTGTGGCTGGGTGGTGTTTCACGACTCTCTGACGCCTGCCCACAGGTGGAAGCCGCTAACGACGCGCCGCTGCGCGTGGGCCCGGCGCCGAATGCGCTGCTGGTGCCTCTGGGCGCCGAGTCGGTGACCGTGTCCGTGTCGGAGCTGGTGTCCGGCTCCTTCATGGATCCGGACGGCCTGGCCACGGGCGCCGCCGTGCTGGTGGCCGCCGGGGAGCCGCTCGGTCGCTGGGAGTGGGCTCCGGCCGGCGCCGACCGCTGGAGCGCCCTGGAGCTGCCCGCCGACGCGGTGTCGGTGGGTCTAACAGCGTCCGACTGCGGTCAACTGCCAACCGACGGAGAGATGGCGGCGCTCAGCCGGCGGCTGACGGGCTCCGCCGCGTGCGGCGCGGCACCGGTCGAGCTCCCGCCGACCACGGTAACACCCCAGTACCTGGCGCCCGACGACCGGCTCCGGTTCACGGTTACAAACGCCAGCCAGGTGTGGACGCGGGCAGAGGCGGCCGAGGCGGCCGTCCTGGTGGTGGCTGGGTGGGACCAGACAGCGGCGCCCAACAACGTCAGTCTGCCCGACTGCCAGCCGGTGAGTCCAGCGCCGCCAGCGCTGAGTGGTATTTCACGCCGGCAGAGTCTGACAGGGGCTAGAGGACCAGGTTTCGGAGGATCAGTGTATCATTTCACTGTCTTTAGACCCACATAATCTAAAAACAGCAGCATAATATCTGTAACAGTGAACACTAAGGATCATAGGAGCTGAAGTCATGTGGACTTGGCTCTGAGTCTGAACTCTATTAACTGAGCGTCACAGTTCAATAAAAGAGGATGAGAGAGGTCTACGGAATGTGCGAGACTGCCCTGTAAACTGATTGTGTGCCACTGTGTGGAGCTGTTCGCTGAATGTCTACACGTTACTCACCAGGACTGCGGCGGCTCATCCAGTCTCAGCGCCTCACTGCTGCGCGTGCTGGTGCTGCGCTCCGACTGTACCCGACTCCCCGTCTACAGTGAAGAGCACGCCTCTGAGCTGGACGCGTGTGGGGTGTGCGGCGGCCTCGGCAATTGCATCACTTGCGACGGCCAGGTCAACGGATGTAAGTACCTCGACAGAATCAACTTGGCAATAAGATACCTAATAAACAACTTTGTTGGTTTATAACTGTATAATCTTATAATCTTACCCACACGGCTGTTGATTCCACGAAGTGATGATCTATTTTGATGATGATGATGATGAGTGATGATGATTTATTTCACAATGCTACCATATTGAACACACGTTTCCTTCAAAACCAAAAATAACAGTTCGGTGAGCACACACTTTACATTATGAGGTCCGCCTGTGTTTGTCGTTTGAATGCGGCTGGTTAATGTACCGTTTGTCTCGGCAGCGGCCTACGTGGACTGCACCAAGTGCGTGGGCGGGACGACGGGCCTCCAGCCGGAGCGGGACTGCGCCAACCAGTGCTCGGAGAACCTCCTGGTGACCATTAACGGCACAGAGCTGTGCGTGCCCTCGGAGGCAGCCAGGGTGCCGCCGTGTGACGGCGTGCCCGGCTCCGGAGCCTACTTCAACCTGTAAGAGAGTGGGCCGCCAGCGGTCGTACGTGCAATTCGTAACAGAGCTGATGATTTGATGGTGTATTGCATGATCTTAGTTAGCGCCAGGTGTGTAGTCAATAGTTTGGAGAGTATTTGCCCCTTAAGTATCGAGCTGAGCGACGTTTTAAAACTGAGAGGGAAGGAAAAATGTAATTCAGAGAATGTCGGCCTTAGACGTTGCCCTTAGAGGCATGTGTAGGTAAATACAGTCGGCACCTAACAGCTTCGCACATGTCTTCACGATCTGCCTTGGGCCGCGCAGGTGCGGCCACTGCGTGCTGGGCAGCACGGGCCGGCCCGCGCTGTATGGCCGGGACGCGTGTGGTCAGTGCGTCGAGGACCCTACCGCCGACAGCGGCTCGAGCTGTCCGCAGCCGCTGTGTGACGGCTCCGTCACCAGCCCCCGGCGGCGAGACCACTGCGGCGAGTGCCGTCACCCGGATAGTGATCAGTGGAGCGGTCAGTGGCAGCACGCAGAGTCCACCCATAGCCTAGGCTAACCTTATGAGGGGTGATTTGAGGCATTGTCTCGAGGCAGTGCGCGCACTCTCTTCATTATCAATAAGATGAAATTATGGACTGTAACTGTAGCGAAACTGGAATAATGTACTGCAATAATGTAACAAGAATAGTGATCTATGTCCATGTTTAGCACTGGAGAAGTGTGACGGTGACCTCGACTTGTGCTTCCCCCAGCGTGTCGGCCGTTTGGGAAGCCGCCGCCTGTGGTTGACCTAGCCCAGCCCGGCGGGTCGATGCCGACGGTGCAGATGGCTCTGAGGAACCAGACGACCGCCTGGGACCCCACGCTGGTCAGCTGCCACGTGACTGGAATGACAGGAGAGCGCAGACAGGTACTGACGCAGAACTGGTGGACAAAGCTGGACGCGAGCCCCGCCTCAATTTGGACATGAATGTGTGTTGTGTGCAACACTCTCCGCAATCATGAATACTTGCCATTCAATTGTTTTTAAGGCATTTCCTATTGTTTTCAATAAGAGTGCTAAACAATCATTTTTGCGCTACGAAATATTAGCGCTTGTGTCTCAAATAACTTAAATCCTTGGTTAAAATGGCCATTTGTTGCAAAATACGAAATGAATCGTCGTTAGCATCTGTCTCTTCATTGAATAGCGAGTGAAGTTACTAAATTGCTCATTTACGGTAAATGTACCCATCAAACCCCCTACCTAGCCCGTCGTCTGACGCTGCCTTTCCCGCGTCGATTTCAGGTGATCACGTTCAAGGGGCCCTCGACAATGACGGCGGAGAAGGGTGTGCTGCGCGAACGACCCTCGGTGGGAGCTAAGCTGGTCGACCTGCCCCCTGAAACCTACCAGTTCAGCTGCGGCGCGGACCTAGCCGCCGATAAATTCAGCCTTGTGAACAGCAGCGAGCTGCAAATCAGTACCTTGGAGACACCTGAGGCACTGTTCAACGCGGAAAACAAGGTGAGATGCGCCGACGGCTTGTACGGTATACCTAATGTGCTGGTGAGCAGGAACCTTGGAAGTCTACTGCAGACAGTTTGTAAGTACGTGTGCCATGTCTGGTGGTGTCTGATGGTGTCTGATGGTCCGATGTGTCCGGTGTGAGTGCATTCGTTGGTGCCTGGTGGGTCTGATCTGATGGTGTCTTTCCTCCTTCCCTCAGGTGGCGGTGGTGCTGTCCTCTGACCCGGTACCCACCGCGCCCGTGGTGCTCGGTCTGGTCCCTCCGGACGGCGTTCGACCGGCGCTGGTCGTCGTCCCACTCACCCGACCTCAGCCAACCCCAGTGGGTGACGAAAGGACACTGAAGCGCATCGGTAAACTGGTGGCCAAGGGTGGCTCGGGCGCGCTGACCGCTCTCCTGCCGCGGCTGCCGTCCGCTGGAGTGTACCGGGTGATTGTCGCTCATGACCGCGCCGGACTGGAGGCTCAGCTGCAGAGAGGGTACGTATTTACACTGGTGTGAGGAACTGATGAATACGTATTGGTCCCGTTGGTCCGTAAGTCCTCCTGTGATCACGACTTTATAGACCGGAGTGAGGGCCGCCAGCCGTATCTGCGACTGTGTCTTGGTAGACTGTACCGCAATACATGCTTGCAATGCGGTACAGTATACACATCAGTCAAGAGATGCGTATTGCGTAGAAAATGAATGAAACTATTGTTGAGATATTCTGGCTTGTAAGCACCGCAGGATCCAGGGGCATTTGGGGCAAATGACCCCCGCAGCGCTCGAAACCGACGAATAATTGTTTTTTTTCTTTTCGAGGATAAAACGAAAACTAAACAACTTTTATTTCGAAAAGTTTGTTTTAAACTGCATAGCAATGCTTAGGAATCGAAATCCGATAAATGTTTGGAATTCGGAAAAAAACATTTTTGGGGCTATGCCCCAGCAGCGTCAAAGAACGCCTTTCTGGATCCGCCAGTGCTTGTTACGGAGCGAGCGAAGCGAGCGGAGTCTTTCCTTAGATTAACGGAAATTTCTGAGTATGAGCGGCCGGCCGGCCGGCCGGCCGTGCGGACGCTTTTGCGAGGCTTATATCTCAGCAACCACTTGACCGATTTTCATGCGGTAATTTTTGTAGGGTAGCTTCATTCCTTCTACCAAGTATTGGACTATTCCCGATGCATGTGGGTGACCCCTTATGCACGTGCCACGTGCAAAACGAAGAGGTGTCAGTTTTGTAATTGTTGCAATATCTCGGTAACTACTTGGCCGATTGCGCTCAAAGTTGGCATGTAGGTAGGCACCCACTAGGCACTGCATATCCATGTGCCAGAGTTGGGGTGCTGCTGCACGTGCGCACGTGCAGGGGTCGTTTCCAGATCTCGAGAACGGCTCGACCGATTGCGCTCAAATTTGGTACACAGTTAGGAATCGGTTAGTAGGGTGCCGTGCACAAGTCAGTTGGGACCCATTTTGCACGTGCGCACGTGCAGGGTGCCGCTTCCAGATCTCGAGAACGGCTGGCCCGGTTGTGCCCAAATTTGGCACATCACTAGAGACCGGTTAGTAAGGTGCCGTGCACAAGTCAGTTGGAGGTACCCCCTCGAAATTTCGCACGTGCAAGGCCCACCTCTCGCTCGCTCCGTTAGTCGCCCCAAAAGGCGTTATACTGGTACTAGGCTTTAGAAAGTTGGCCGAATTACGTTACATAACAGATATCGGATCAGAACTATTTGATGCTCCTCAAGCCCCTATAGGCCGCTGGAGACCCTCCTCCATATGCAATATGATACGAAGCTAAGCTGTATTCACCGCGAGCACAACGATAGAAATGAACAAACTATATATAACTAGGTACGGCAGCGAGACTTAATGATACACAACGAGCAACCATAACGACCGGATTTTGAAGTTAAATATGCCCAGATACGAGTATGTTCAAAATTATATGTTTGTCGGGGGTAAGTTAATTTGGAAGGTTACCAGAGTGCAATAGAGTCACCCGCAGATGATTCTACCTGGTGTGGTGTCCGGTTGCACTGGGTCGACAGCAAGGCCGATCCCGCCCGTTACCAGAGCTGCATCGTCACGCACAGGGCCCGAGTGCAAGGGTCGGCAGTCGAGGACGGACCCAAGGGGTGGCGTCACAGGAACAAGTGGCGTCCTTCCCGCGGCCGCCGAAGCAGTCGGCTCGGCCGCGCCCGCGGCCATCAGCCGGTCAACGCACAAGTGCCGCCCCGACCAGCCCGACCGCCCGACCCTCCCGACCGCCCGGCCCGTCGGCCCATCCGACCGTCCGGCGGCCCGACCGGCCGCCCGGCCCAGCCCGCTCGTCCGACCCAGCCCAACAGTCCGGCCCGCCCGACCACCCGGTCCGACCGCCCGGCTCGTCCGGCCCAGCCCGACCGCCCGGCCCGCCCGACTGCCCGGCCCGATCGTCCGGCCCGGCCCGACCGCCCGACCAGGCCCGACCGCCCAGCCCAGTCCGATCGCCCGGCCCGGCCCGACCGCCCGACCAGGCCCGACCGCCCGGCCCAGCCCGACCGCCCAGCCCGGCCCGACCGCCCGACCGGCCCTCCTGATCGCCCGGCCCGCCCGACCGCCCGGTCAGTGAAGTCACGTACAGTAGGTCTACAAAATAAGTCCCCCGTCGTATGCGGGTCACCAGTGGGCAGTTAGCGCCTGAGCGCTACTCGGGCGCCACCTGCCCGCATACGGAGAGGACTAATTTTGTAGACCTACTGTAAGGGCGCTCATAGGTGTAGGAACCTTTTTGATAGTGGGAGGGGAAGGCAGGATCCCGGACCCACAGGCACCGCTGCGAGCTTTGAGGCCAACGAATGAATGAATGAAATGGGCCATCATAGGCCATCTCGAGGGCCTCGACAGCCGTTTTCAGCCTTTATGCAAGCTTGGGCCCTCTCAGGTCGGAGTGGGCCCTTAGAGGCCGGCATGAGGCCCTAAAAGGCCAGCATAGGCTTTTAGGTGTTCCCTGGGTTCCCTGAGAGTGGCGTGGACCCACCAGAGGTTGGCTCAAGGGCTCTCAAGAGCCAGCGTGGGGCCTTATAAGGTAAGCACAGGCCTCCAGAGGCCATTGTGGGGCCCTGAGGCCAGCGTGGGTCCCTCCGTTGCCGGTGTGGGGTCTTCAGAGGCCAGCATGAGCCCTCAGAGGTCGAAGCGAGGCCTCTGAGGACGGCATGGAGCCATCAGAGGCTAGAGCAAGGACCCTCATGACCCGCATTGGGACTTCCGAAAGCTTAGGGCATCAGCCCTCAACGAGCGCAGGGCCCTAACAGATCGACATCGGCTCTTTGAGACGACTTGAGGCTCTCACAGATCTATGCTAAGCATTACTAGCTAGGGACCAGCTTTAGCCCTCAAGAATCTAAGACTGGAGATAGGATCCACGGGGGCTGACGTGGGGCCTTATAGCTCTGCGTGGGGTCCTCAGAGATCGACCACACGGAGCTCTTAGAAACCGGCGTGTGGCCGCTGACCAGCGTGGCCCCTCAGTAACCAGCACGACCCCTACCAGTCTGTGCAGGAGCCTGTAGAGGCTAGAGCTCACCAGACAGGTCACCAAAGGTCAACAAAAGCTTTTGACAATAACGTTTGACGGAGACGTGATAAAAGCCGTTTTCACGACGGGCTATCCGGCGAATGCACCTGATTTGACCAAATCTGCACCTAATTTCTTGTACAGCAAATATCTTCATTTTATAAATATATTTCAGTGTTTTAATCGATGATGCTCTCTGATAATAATATGACAAAGTAGGCATATAAGCAATTAGTGCAACCCTATGCTGTTAGCTGCTAAGAGACACACTGAACCTGATTTGACCAGACCTGCACCTAATCTGTACCAGATGTGCACCAAATGTGTACCAGATGGCCGTCGTGAACACGGCTAATGTGATGAAAGCACCTGCAATGCGTTCAGCTCAACAGACAACAATACAAACTGATTTAGACACAGCAGAGCATGACCTTGTCCGGTCGGGGCATGAGCTTGGCCTAAGGTCAAATTATGGATCATGCAACGTATCTCGACAGGTCCTCGACACGACAGGTCCGTCGAGGTCCTGGCCAGTGTTGTCTATCTTGTCTACCTAGCGTACCTAGTGTTGTCAGTGCTTGCACACGCCTCGTCTCGCATTCAACGAAATGCTGCCACCAGGGCTTCCAGTCTTCGCTTCTGATAAGGTTTCTATCATTGAGAGAAGGAAATTTGCACTCAATAACGCTGAAGATACCAAAGAAAATCTTCATCGAAATTCGAAGGACAAGCTGGAGAACCATCAAGTTTTGGTGTTCAGGGTGTCGGGTGGTAGGTACAGATAGGCACAAAAGTTCAGCAAAAAGTGTGGGTGCTATGGCCATCTTGGCCTCCCCTGTTCCTATACCTATGTGGGCGCCCGTCACGCACAGTGGCAGCGGAAAGCCGGCGCTTACAATTTTAACAGCCATTGAGCGGTGCAAGGGAATCAGACTGGTAGAAAATACACCAAGGGATGATTTACGTGATAAAGGTATTAAATAAATAAGTCGGTCTTATGATCATAAGATTTACTTGAACATAAGATTCACGTCATCCCGGTATCGCTCTAAAACTGCACGGCTCCATTTTCAGGTGTGACAGCGAGTGTCAGGCTGCGGCGCTGTCTCTGCGCGTGCGCTCGGCGCCGCCGGAAATCACAGGCGCCGAGTTCGCCGCTCCCTACCGGCACGTGACCGTCTCCTTCGACGGCCCGGTGTGGACAGAACAGGGCTGTGAGGCGCTGCTGGACCCCGCCGCACTCCGGGCTCTCGGAGGACCCGGTAGGTGCCAGCCTGGAGGCGGGAGTAGAGAACAAACACAAAATGTTATTTCATAATTGTACGATGTACAGACTACACTGTGTGATGTTATTGTCCTGTCCAGGCATTTATATTTCTGAAACAGACATCGATAAAGTTTTCCTTCGACATCATACCTTGGTGAAATTTTAGCAACTGAACCTTTCTCGTAAGTGACGCCTTTGGTGACGGCGATTTTTCACTTGCACTGTTTCAGAGGGAAGTGACTGTTCCGTTCGAAGTAACCAGCTGTTGATTCGCCTGGGGTCCAAGATGGCTGCGCCCGTCAGCGGGAGCGTGGAACTGACGCTGGCTGAGAGTGGTGATATCGTGCAGCTGGGTAGTGGTGGGGGAGAACTGGCTAGCCGTGCTTCGGGATCTGTGACCGTCAACTTCACACGGGCGATGGCGGTGAGTGGAGAGGGAGAAAGGGAGAGAGAGAGAGAGAGAGAGAGAGAGAGAGAGAGAGAGAGAGAGAGAGAGAGAGAGAGAGAGAGAGAGAGAGAGAGAGAGAGAGAGAGAGAGAGAGAGAGAGAGAGAGAGAGAGAGAGAGAGAGAGAGAGAGAGAAAGAGAGAGAGAGGGGGGAGAGACAGACAGACAGACAGACAGACAGACAGACAGACAGACAGACAGACAGACAGACAGACAGACAGACAGACAGACAGACAGACAGACAGACAGACAGACAGACAGACAGACAGAGACAGAGACAGAGACAGAGACAGAGACAGAGACAGAGACAGAGACAGAGACTAGCGAGAGTGAATAATAATATGGACAGAGACACACATAGAGAGGGCTTGTCGTGGGTCCGCTGATGCCCATTCCGTAGTGCTACATAGCCTTCAATCACGCAGGCACGCTGTAGACCTCTGACACCCTCCCCCCTCCCCCTCAGGAGTCGCCGCGCGTCTCGCTGCTGGGCCCGTCGGTGGTGTGCGCCTCGGCCGGGTGGCGGGCCGCGTTCCGCGCCGTCCCCGAACAGGACCTGGGCCGGCCACTCTCCTACAGCTGGAACATCTCACTGGAGAGGGAGACGACCCTGCGCCAGTCGGACACGCTGACCATCTGGCAGGGAATTAATGCCGCGATCGCCACCGAGGACACGGAGAGTACGGACACAGTGTCCTCGTACAACATCGACTCTTCAGCGGTGAGTGGTGCTCGCAGTGGTCTCGGTAGTGAAGGTAATGCCAGCACTGAGCGCTGTGAGTTGTGACAGCAATGTCAGCAGCGTTAGCATTTCAGTTCAGTTAGTATTGGTAGTGTCAGCAATGGCACAGTACCTATCAGTGTTCAGCAATATCATCAGTGTAAGCCGTGTTAGCATTGTCAGCAATCAGCATCATCCTCAATACCACATCATCCTATGCCTCTCTCCGATCGCCCGTCAGAAGCACTCACAATATATCCGTTCCTCGCGTTCTTTCTGCAGCTGGTACCGGGATCATTCAACTACGAGGTGTTCGTGAAGGCGCAGGCGTGGACGGGCGCGTCCCAGATCGAGTCGCGTCCGTTCCGCGTCTCGTCCTCGGGCCTGTCCGTGTCGGTGACCGGTCCGGCGAGGATCGGTCGCTCGGGCCTCTACACCTACCACGTGACGGCCACCAGCTGCGACTCTGAGCAGGACGGCACTGCTGACAGTCTGACGGTGAGCCGGGGACGCGCCGAACACTGTCGGGTAGATGGTGACTGCTAAGAGCAAATGTTCATCCATTTGGATTGTAGCGAGAGCGGTTTCCAATGCCCTTTTTCCGGAGCTGCCAGCGTATTCGTTCATTTTTGAAGATCACTTCAAATGCTGCATTTGATAACGGTTAACCTCTTTTCTCGCCCTTCCCGTAGTACTCATGGCGCCTGCCGGGGGTATCGCCCTCACACATGGACGGTTTGAACAGCCGCACCCTTCGTGTGGACACCTCAGAGCTAGTGTGGCAGTCAGAGTACCTGCTAACCTGTGTGGTCAGCCGGCTCGGCACCAGCGAGGTCTACACGGTTAGTACACTGCTCCACGAGTGAACGTACATGCATCACCTCATCGGGCACCATATTCTTAGATAAAGCCGGTGCAGTGGCGTAGACAGGGGGGCCATGGGGGCCATGGCCCCCCTTTCCGCCCAGCCGCCCAAATGGTGCCCCAATTAGCGCCGACCAAGCTGATGCCGTTTTACAGAGAGAACATGAATTAAAAAGTGATGTGCAGGCAGGGATCGAACTCAATATCTCTTTGGGGGTGCCTGGACACTTAAATGTTCTCCAGGACACCCCCAAATACGACCTGAGCCCCCAAATGTTGAAGGGCGCCCTTCCGGAAACCAGAATATTAAGAACCCCCAGGGTCGATGGCGCCCATGCGAGCCGCTGGCACCCACCTGAACGGAACAGTCGCCCCAGTTAAGCTTGGTGGCGCCCCTCTAGAGCACCCGGCGCCGCTCTTAAGTTCACAGGTGCCCCAATCGGCCCCATCCAAGATCGATGGCGCCGCCTGAAACCACTGGCGCCTCTCTAAAGTACCCGCATTCTTCTCAAGATCACAGTCGCCCTATTCGAGATCAATAGCGCCCTCAAGTGCCACTAGCGCCGCCCCCCCCCCCTTGAGACTGAAGTCGTCCCGCTTGAGACTAAAGTCGCCCCATTTAAGCCCAATGACGCCCCTCCAGAGCGTCCGACGCGCTTCTGAAGATCACAGTTGTCCTCATCCGAGGTCGCTGGCGCCCCTCAAAGGTCACTGGCGCCCATCTAAACGGAGATTACAGCTGACCCATCTTAAGATCGATGGCAACCCTCTGAAGCCAACGGCCCCCTTCTAGAGTACCCGGCACCCCTCTGAAAATCACATTCGCCCCATCCGAGACAACACCCCTTGTGACTACAGTCGCCCCACCCAAGCTCAAGGCGCCCCTCAACGCCGCTCTAAAGATCACAGTCGCCCCATCAATCCGAGGTCGCTGGCGGCCCTCAAGAGCCACTGGCGCCCACCTGAACTGGGACTTCAGTCGGCCCATCCTTGATCAATGGTGCCCCTCTGAAACCACTGGTGCCCCTCTGGAAATCCCAGTCGGACCATCCGAGATCAATGGCACCCCTCCAGAGCGAACGACGCCCTACTGAAGGCAACAGTGACCCCATCCAAGCATTGCACCCCTCTAGAGCACCCAGTGCCCTTCTGAAGATCACATTCGCCCTATCCGAGGTCGTTGACGCCCTCCAGTAGTCACTGACGCCAATCTGAATGGAGACTTCGGTCGCCCTGCCCCATTCAAGATCAGCGCCCCCCCCCCCGAAACCACTGACGCTAGGCAATTATTTGACAATGGGGCTTTCTCATCGACACCAAGGGTCCTTTTCAAAATGCAGCAGCCAGGCGGCGCCGACGTGGCTAGGATGTGCCAAGCGTTTCTTATAAGACAGCCTCGTTGGTGCCACGCCTCGTTGCGATACCGCCCCTCAATTTGCGACGCCGCCCCTTCACCGTACAATGCCACTCCTCAATGCAAGTGGCGCCCCTCATCGCATGAGTGCCACCCATTATTGCGATGTTGCCAGCGCCTAGCAGTGCGGTGCCGCCCCCAGCGTAAGCGTTTTTTTTTTAAATTGAGCCTGCTGGGGGTGTTTGAACACCCACTTCTAACTCAGCTTGTGGGCCACGTCGAGACACGCAGTAGGCAGTGTTCGAAAGAGCGCCAAAAACTATTACAAAACTACTAAGATAATTTTTAAGGATAGGTCGAACTGGTCGAAGTCACCAGTGACAACCGAAAATCAAATTTCGCCGATGTTGACATGTTTCGACAAAGCGGCGCATAAGTCAGGATTCAGAAAGGGATTGAGCTACAGCGCCGCACGGCCACCCCAGTCGACCAGAGGCTGCAGTCCACAGGTCACTTTGGATCAGTGAGTGAACCTATATTTTTTTTTTGCAAAGCATAAAGATTGTGCCTATCGATCAAAGTATATTTTACGGTTTCGAATTCGCATGGTGCGTATTTTGAGAATAAACTGTCCGTAGCCTGAGCTTGTTTCCTATATCGTGCTAAATTTGCATAAAGATCAAGGTTTTTGATGAATAAACACCGGGCTGCAAATTGCAATAATTGGATTTTTATGAAAAATCAGCGAAACCTGGTTCTTATTTATTTTGCAACACCTAGTAAATCATGCATGAATATATGACGTTACATTTTAGACTAACGCCCCTGTCACTAGCTGACAATGGCGCCCCTCTCAAGGGAAAAAGTCGCCCCCTCGAGCACCATGGCCCCCCCTTTCGCTGATTTCTGGCTACGCCACTGAGCCGGTGCATGCAAAATTGCATAGATGGTGTAAGAAACAAGAAGGTTTTATTACAAACTACGATATAATTCTTCGTTTCCACGCTCACGACTTTAATCCATTGGGGGCTCATCGATTTTGATTAGTTTCTTATCTTCACCTTCAGTTTTTTTTTTTTAGGTTGTTCACTGACAGGACTTATTTGACCGGTCTGTACTCGTAGCCGCGTCATCAAATGTCGCTATAAATCACTGATCAGATCAGACCAGTCAACAAGAGTCACTGATGAACGTTCTGGCCGTGTCTGCCCCGACAGGAGTCCCTCCGTCTGAGGCCGGCCAGCAGCGGCGTTCGTGCCCGTCTGCCGGCCGAGCGGCGCGCCGTCCAGCCGGAGCAGCCCATTTACCTGGACGGCAGCCGGTCGGAGGACCTGGCCGGAAGGCCGGGAAAGCTCAGCTACAGCTGGAGCTGTCGGCTGGCGGAGAGCGGCGCCGGCTGCTTCGTCGGCGACCCGCGGGAGCCGCCGCTGCAGCGGCTGGAGCAGCGTCTCGGCGACAGCGCCCTTAGCGGACCCACGCTGCGCGTGCCGGCCGGGCTGCTCGCACCAGAACAGTGAGTTGGCCTATTCAAACGCAGGGATCCCGCTTTTGTATCCCTTTGAATAATACATTCACACATCATAGATATGAGAACCGAAGCGAGAGCCGCCGGCCATCTGCGACTGTGTCTTGGTAGACTGTACCGCAATGCATGGGTGAACTGCGGTACAGCATACTCATCAGTCGAGAACTAAAGCAAATGAATCTGAATCGATTTGATTTTTTAGTGAATGTCAGATGTAAAATGTTAACTGTTTCTATGTCGCACTGAATGGTAATGGACATTTTTTTAATTGTGTTGGACAAACGTCGTTCAATATAATCTATTTAGTGTGGCTCGTCTACATAGATGCAGGTGTGCGTTAAAATCGCATCATTGGATTGTTGTTATCCGGGTATTGGGCGCTGATGTGCGATGGATGCATACTATGGCATCAATTTTACCTCTAGGTGCGGCTACATATAACACAAAATGGCATCACGCAGGACGAGGACATCATCTGATAACATAGATTGTGGACACCTGACCGAGCGGCTCTCCTCTCGCAGACGCTACCTGCTGACACTGAGGGTGGAGAAAGACGGCGATGTCGACACTGCCCACACGGAGGTGTATGTCAACGCGCTGCCGACGCCCAAACTGTGGATTGACAGGCAGACCGACGTGTTTGATCCATTCCAAGACATTTTCGTATCGGCGCAGGTAAGCGTTGCGGAAATACTGACTTGGGAACGCATGAACGATGTAATCTTTTTTTGAATAAAGTGAGATATATTTCAATTTAAAGCTTCAAAAAGTTCCTCAACTGTCCAAGCGTATGGATGTTCAGGATAAGCATCAGAAAATAGCATGAAAGCAGGCCGTGCCATAGATGACTGTTATGCTGGCACCACGATAGACGGTTTGGTAACGTTCCGGAAACCCTTTCCCCCTATGTATTTCCCCAATCCCCAGGTGTCGACCGACTGGCCTGTGACTGTCCAATGGGAGACCGACTTCCCGCTGCCTCCGGCCGCTCTGGAGGGCGCCTCGTTCCGCCCGACCCTGGTGCCCGCCGGCGCACGCAGGCGCCACTTTGACCTGGTGCTGCCGGCCCTGGAGACAGCCGGCGGAGAGGACGGCTGTGAGTCTGAGACTGGAATACGAAATAAGGAGCAGGTATTCGCTAAGATATCAGGCAAACAATCTGATGGTAGCATACGAACTCATTAGGCAAGGTGGGGAAAAGATTTACTAGAACATATGCTTCGCTCGATACATTGGTTTCAAATCATCTGAAGAAGATATTTTTATTTGGCTAATATTGATATAAAATTGCAATAACCATGCCGTGTAGTTGTTTCTAGTCTGTCTTTCTCTTGCCATATGCTGTACCGCAATACAAGCGTGTACTGCGGGACAGTCTACCAAGAGCAAACACTTCAAGCTCCACGAGCAAGCTTGAGAAAATACTGGTCACGACAACTGATGAATGTGCTTCGACGTCAATGCGAAAAGATGCATATCTCCCACCCCCTCCCGCCATTACATCAGTTCCGTCTATATTGTTTCCGAAGCGACTGGTCACCGGACCGTGTTCCAGGCACTCTGTGTGGAAAGGTGCTCCGTTTCGTCCTCCGCGCTGACATGGAGACCGGCGACTCCCTGGTGGCCTCCGCAGAGGTCGACCTCACCATGATGAGCGCCCCCTCACTCGGCGAACTCGAGGCGAGCACCGTTATGTGTAACTCATATTGATCGGGCTGGTTTTGTAAAAGCGGAGCTTCAAGTTTCGCTGCATCTCGGGACGGAATCCCTCATAGTGATAAGGCATCGAAATATAACGGCACTCTCGTGTGCATGAATGATCACAAGTACAAAATAACACTAAAAGTTCACCCATCAGGAATGTATTATATAAATGTCATGAATTGAGCGGTACTAGGAGATCAAATGTATCTGCAACACTGCCAACTGCGTATTCGCGATCCGAAATACTGCCCGATGTTGCAATACGAATACCGGTACTACGACAGCACTATTCCACTGACGTCATACCTCTACTGACGTCACACCCCACTGACGTCACACGGCAGGTGTCGTCCGCCGACGGCCTGATGACGGCCCTGGACGCCTCTGAGGGCTGGTCGGCTGACTCGGGCGCGCTGCAGCTCACCTTCCAGTTCGGTTTTATCACGTCTGACGGCATGAGGGTGCCCATGGCGACCACGGTGGGCGCTGACATGCCGCGGACCGAACTGCTGCTTCCCAGAGGTGAGAGAAGGCGCCGTGTAAGGCACCTTCAGCTTTGTGCGTTAGGATGCATTGTCCTTTGACAGTTGCATTCAAACTTTCTATAAATCTACTTACGACACTTTCTGTATAACACACTGCGCGCAGTGCGCAGTGTAGTGATCAGGGCCATTTATCAGAGGTGCTGTTATGCTAGTTGTTTATAAGAAACGTTAAAAGATTTGTCGTTTCGCATTCTTTTCCAGGCGCCGCTCAGGTGTACGTTCGTGTCTGTCCGGCTGATGGTGTATGTCTCACCGTGGACAGTGACGTCACTCCGAAACAGGGTGTCATCAGCGACGAAGCTGATATGAGGTAAGTCAAAAGCGCAATTCCCTATGCTTCATCAGACCGGTTTCCTTGCCCATCAAATGCTAGAAATTCTACATCAAATATTTTGTTTTTTTTTTTCGCTTCGCAATATAAGTTCTCCCAAAACTCCAGAATTTGCCGTTCATGAGTTAGTCACGGACCTATACTTGCCTATACTTGACCTATACTGTGAACAAAAATACTTGTTCAGCGTTGGACTTGTCAACGGCGTGACCGCAATGATGGCTTCATCTCTCTACCCAATGAATGACCCGTAGTGGCTACTTCAGTGACATTTCTCCCCGGCTGACCTGTTCCAGGGAGCTCAGCGAGCGCCAGGTGGAGGTTCACGAGCTGGGTCGTCCCGTGGAGGTACTGGGCTGGTCGGTGACCATCCTGGACAGACTTCCGACCGAGCAGAGCTCAGCCGCTGAAAATCTGACGGCCATCGTTCACTTCACGGCTCGCCGCGCCCTCTCCAACATCGCATCCAGGTGAGGACATAGGGAAGAGGCTTTGAGAACATTTAACTTTAGACAGAGTGCAATAGACATTATAGAGAGGCAGAACACCGAGCCACGTAACGTAACAGTGGCTTTCGATTATCATTGTGAGTAATTTGATGGAAACGATCGCGTTCGGCGACAACAACCATAATTTTTACTGATTGTAATGATTTTGATCGTTCCCATGCTGAAACATTTGCTTCTAAGCTTTTATTGCGTATAAAAAATTCTGTTTTTAGGGATTACCACCGGTGTATGTTGCGCTCCTGAGCATAAACGCCTCCGTTTCCCGCAGGCTTCGAGAGCTGACCAACAGTGAAAATGTCAAACAGAAAACGTGAGTGGTATGCCGATTCGTCTGATGCAAGCATTATTAATCGTGAACTCGTTTTATGTATCGTTTCTTTCTGAAAAAAAAAGATTAGGCGTGCTTATAGTCATGATTCCTCGTCGACTGAGCTGTAATTACAATGCCGCTGGTGGATCTAACTGTGACGCTCCCTGCTCTTTGGGCCCGTCAGGCGGGCGGTGGACCAGGCTCTGACGGCTCTGGAGCTGCTCGGCCCGCTGGAGGCTGCGCTGGCCGGTCAGGCGCAGTTTGACCTGACCGGTCACAGGAGCACGCTGCAGCAGCTGGTGGGCGCCGCCCTGCTGCCCTCAGTACCGCAGACGTTCATAGAGCAGACGCTGCAGGTGGTGCCGCAGCAGCAGATTGTGCCGGCCAGCGGACCGGTCCCGCTTCCAGGTGAGAGAATAAATCAAATGCAGCTGACATCGCCGATTTCTTGCCCGTCTCAAACAAAAACATCATGTAGCTCAATTTCGAATAGAAAATTTATTGATGTGTGCATACCTATGTCATTGTGTCACGGACTGAACGGGACACGTAACCGCCAACGTTTTGTCTTTGCGTTTCCAGTGGCCAGTCTGAGATCTCGTCGTGCTCGGCGCCGACCCAAAAGAGCTGTGGCTTTCACCTCGAGCACCCAGCCACTCGACGCCAGCCAGGTAAGTGTGGTGATAGATTGCCCTTAATTAAGCCGCTGATTTTGCTTAGTCGTTCTGTGCTTTCCGTAACATTATGTCCGAACGCCACCCCTAGCCATCTTCTTCGAGTTGTTGTGGATTTTTTTTGACGTCGATGGTCCCCTCTGACCGCCACCTCTCCGACCAGGCGGCGCGACTGCTCAGTACTGCCGAGGGCTCGTCCAACACCGGCGCCCTACTGACGACGGCTCGCGCGGCGCTGGCCGGTCTGTGCGCCGGTCTACCTTCCACCAACAGCCCTCCAGTGGCTGTTCTCGGCTACCGGCTGCAGCTGCAGGCGGCGCGGCGCGCGCTTGACACAGCCGGCACCGCCCGCTGGCCGCTGGTCGAGCACTCGGAGAGCGCCAACGGCACGTGGCTACAGCCCAGCGCCCAGTGGACCGGCTGGTCGTGGGAGTGCGGCGGTGACCCGGAGCTGCAGGTGGCGGTCCTCTGCCGCGATATGTGCGTCACCACCTGGGTCACGGAGGAGGACCTGCTGACGGCCAGCACGGACCGACTGGAGAGCGACCCCACCCCGCGCAGGTCAGTCCAGAGCTTATAGAAACAACGGTCAGTCCATCAGCTAGAATATGAGCAGTGACCGGGAGAGAGAGCGCGCGGCTGAAGATTTCACTTTCAGTGTGGGCTGACGGACTCAGTACTTGAAGTGTAAAGGCGGGGTGTTGATATCATCCCTTGCTGGCTGCGGGGCGTGCTATGAAAACTCTGCTTCTTTGCCGCTTTTTGACTGTGTGACACGTCTTTTTCTGACCATTCTGGCAGGACTCCAGTGTTCAGTGTGAGCCTACTTCACCCGGTCAGCCTGGAGCCGCAGTATGCCGAACAGACCCTCAAGTCGCCCTTCACCATCAGCACCCTGATCAACGCCTCAATGGAGATGCCGGAGGGAAAGACGCTCGAGGTGAGATCGGAACAATGTTCGGACTTACACACCTGAAGGGATGCCGATGTAGATCTACGGATAGTTCCTCCATGACTGCGGGATTGCATTTTTATAGGAGTTTGTGAATATAGAGCGAGTAAAAAAAGATGACAAAGGAATGTGAATGCTCAAGACTCACCTGAATGGTGCAGTATGACAACACGGTTACTATAGGTCACCAGAACCGAACTGAACCGATTTTCTGCCCCTGCCGCCGTTGCTGACCTCTGTCTCTGTCTCGCACACACAGTGTCGCAGCTGGCAGGACGAGGAATGGAGCGCTGACTCCTGTCAGACCGATCGGATGACTGGCGGCGAGCTGAGGTGCAAATGTACCCGGCTGGGCGCAGTGGCGGCCTTTGAGGTGGACGCGCCCGAGCCGACCACCACCGTGCCCACGACCCAACAGGCCACCACTACTACCGAGAGGACGGAGAGCAACACCCAGCTGACCAACATCACTCTGCGGTGGGTGGAGCGCTAGATGACATGCTCTAACCGATAGCGGGTCGACCTGACCTAGCCAGGGTGTTTTCCTGATTGCAAGGGTGTTTTTCAGTTTTAGCAATTATGTGTGTCAAATAGGCCATTGAGCTCAATAAACAAAGTAGCAAACGCATTACACATTACACAACCCCAATACAGCTACTTTGACCTTTTGACCTTTCGTGATCTGTACATTGCGATCTAACTCAGTGGCAGTGACGTCATAAAGTATTGCTATTGCTTAGCCTACTGCCTTTCAATGTATGTTCCTGACACTAAATTACCGTTTTGATTCGCGTAGGATCGACGCCGACTACCAGGCTGTGGTTGGGGACGACAAGGAGCAGTTCGAGAGCCACATGAAAACGCAGATCGCGGCGAGCATGAACATCAGCGAATCGTCCATCATCTCCATCAGCGCTCGCCCGGGTGAGAATCGGCGAGAGCAGGACCTCTTCTGTTGAACATCAGAAAGGGCTAGAAACGTGTCGTGGAATAGGAGTCATGCTTCATACCTCACGCAGGGGTTTCCAATGGTATCTTCTGAACCGCACTGCGGGCGTCCACCTCTTGAGTGTTCCGCATTGACACGTTCTTATTCCCACCCCCAGGTTCCATCCTGCTGGATCTCACCGTCGAGACATCCGCGGTGAACCAGCGCACTGCCACGGCCACCCGCTCCCAGGACCCGCTACAGGTGCTGACGCAGCTGGTGCAGTCGGGCCAGCTGGAGCTCACCGATCTCCAGGGTAACCGGCTGGTGATCCCGCGAGACGGACTCGACGACGTGCAGGCCGACCCCGTGAAGGAGGAGAGGAACACGCGCACGGCCGTCATCATCGGAGCCGTCATCGCCGCCATCGTGGTCATCTGTGTGATCGGCGTCATCGCCGCCGTGGTCATCAAGAACAAGAAGAGGTCCAAGGTCGGATCAATGACGGTGAGGGAGGGAGAGAGGGGAGGGATGAAGGGACGAAGAGAGAGAGAGAGAGAGAGAGAGAGAGAGAGAGAGAGAGAGAGAGAGAGAGAGAGAGAGAGAGAGAGAGAGAGAGAGAGAGAGAGAGAGAGAGAGAGAGAAGAGTCATATCTTATAGTTTGTATGCATGTATATGAGCTTATTTTGGCATTTATTAACAGCTTGCACCTGTATTCTGCACTTTCTGCAGTGCTCTTGTTCCTTAAAAAACCATTAGGCAACATATGTATAAAGTTACACCTAAGGGTTTCATTACCTCGCAACGTTATCTTCTTCTTCTTTTTTTTTTTTTGTCGCAGAGTCCGACAGACCGCAGTCAGCAGAACACGTACAAGTCGTTCCAGTTCGAGCACGTGATGGACGGCACAGCGGCCTCCCTGGAAAAGTACAGATCTTCACGAGGCATGGACGATTCCGATCGGTAAGCAGGAACGCTACATGGACGGTTCTGAACGGGTTGTATCGTCTCTGGCCGGTTAGTGGTGGCTGGAACTATAGCTGTAACCAGGCGACTAATCGGCGAAGCTCATCAGTGAAACGCCAGATTAACCCTATTCCTGGCGGGGGGGGGGGGGCTCAGGAGTCCCCCCCCCCCCGAGGTTTCTTGGTTATTTCTCCCAAACGCTTTGAGCTAGGAGGCTCAAATTTTCTGACTTTTCCTAAAAGACTTTTACGCAACATTTCTGAAAATTTTGAGTTGATCTGACCTCAGGTCAGGTCACCAGAGGCGGTTTGGTGACCCTACCTCAGAAAAGTTTGCAATCACGCCAGAGCTAGAGTTTTTGACCGATCAATTTCTTCTCTTCAGGCTTTAGTTAGGGTACCAGTATGTGCAATTTGTATATCTCAGAATTTTCATATCTGTGACCTGAGGTCAGGCCAGACTCGTGATCTTTACATTGCAAGCCTATGGGAAAATATTGAGATGCCTCCTGCTTCGTGTAAACGAGTCAAAACCACCCAATTCTTTCAGTATTATGGAAGATTATCTCATCGGTGATGATCCTGGTGCCGCTATTTGACAGGGGCACCGGCAAAGGTCATCTGAGGTCATGTGACGTCATAAATCGTTTTTCTGTCAATAAATCACGACATGATGGTGCTAAAGACTTGTAAGTGGTACCAAACTGCTCGCCTGGTCAAGGCGCGTCGTTTGGTATGCAGCATGACCATACCCCACAACCTCATTGATGAATGACCTGACCTTGACCTCAGGTCAAATTTCAAATTGACCTGTGAAGGTCATCACATACTTATTTCGCATCGCCTCGGCGAGAGCAACAAAAAATCTATTGGTTTTATGTCTCTATGTTTCTTAGTTTAAAAGTTATATAGGTAACTAATTTCAAAACATTTTATTGTTGATGACCTCTGGTGACCTCAATATTGACCTGACCTGAAAATGTTTTATTTAAAAGTTGTAGATCTTCAAACGACCTATCAAACGCCGTTCGCCGTTTGTCGCTGCGATGCGTAGTTTTTGAGATCTGAAGGGGGGCCGAATCGCCCCCCCCCCCGCCAGTTTCTTGTCCCGGCGGAGCCCGCCAGGAATAGGGTTAACGGGCACTTACATCGAGATGGGTTATTTGCCTCTCTAGTTGCTGGCTGACTATCCCAGGGTCCTCTGAACATGCGCACCCCTGTGCTGGTCGTCTGATGATCCCGGTCTGATGGTCGATGGTGTGATGGTCGATGGTGTGATGGTGTGATGGTGTGATGGCCGATGGTTGATGGCCATTAGGGTGCATCAAACGCCCCACTTTTTCGAAAAATTTCTACGAAGCCCCTGTCACCAAAATTAATTTGTTACGGATCCTAAATGTATCAACCATGCCAAATTTCAAGAATTTCTGAAGCCATCTAGGGGGTCCGCATCGACCCCAAAGTTAACGAAATTTCATGAATTTGATCATTAATGGCGCTTAATTACAAATTATTTAAAATTATTCTTAGGTCAAAATATCTTTTAGAATCGCTAATCATTGCAAGTGCTATCCTAAAACTGCCCACCAAATCAATCTGAAATGCATCTGATTTCACCTATAGGAGTCTTGACACTCGCCCGTATTGGTGTTTTGTGTGCGTCTAACGTACTGGAGCTGGACCCTCTTGCTGTTCGGTCTCTGATTAAGCCAGAGCTTCACGGAAAAAACTAGCGTGTTTCCCGTAACGAGAAGAAGCAGATGATATCAATTTCTACGGTCCTAGGTCATTGGTTGACCTTCCAGGTCAGGTCAATGACCCAAAAGTCGGGAAAATCGAGACCTGGTAGAACTTCGTGAATTGAGTTTGTTGTAGTTTTTTCGGGGTGCTGATTACGATTTTCAGATCAGCTTTGATCAAAGATGATGTCTCTATGCATTTAGGCTTGGTCGGGTCAGGTCAGGTCAGGTCAACCAGTGGGCGTCCTGCCAGCTATCCATAGTAGGTGTAAATCACCACCGACAGCTTCGAAATATTACGAAGGCTTCGAATAAATATTACGAAATATTACGATTAATATGTTACGAAGGCAACAAAACTACTTCGTAAGTGTTCAATGCTCAAACGTTTCAATGTAGTCACGCTTACGAGATGAGTAGACATTAGACAATGCTCCTATCATCAGGCGCTACTGCAGTGTCAGTGCGTCTGCTTTTTGAAAGACCTGCGCTCTCTCTCGTCTTTCTGGGCCATGTATCTGGTGCAACAACTATATAGCGCGGTGCAACAACTACATATATAGCGCCGACCATTCAGCGTTGCATCCACTCGTCGACGCACGGGGAAGGGTCTTTCACAAGGAGATGAAACTCCAGAAAGTAGCAACTGGCATGTCTCAGATATTCCATTCCGGTCACCTGAGGTTCCGGAGATTTCGTTCACGTGGTCGTGACCTATTGTTTTGGGTCAATGGGGTAAATATGAAAACCGAGTCAGAATGATCATCGCCAGTCACACCCCGGCAAGAACGCGCCCAAACCTCGGCAACATTCAATAGAGCAAGTGGCGGCAACAAAACGAAGACATCAAGTTTGTACGTCGCTACTGAAACCGCAAGGTCGTTGACAACGTCGGATACACCTGTCTGCTAAGGATGAGAGTCCAGACTTGCGACGCTCCACAGGGACTTGGTCCACCCTGAGGTCGACGAGCAATTACCGACAGGAAGAGCGGCTTACTCTAGTTGTCGTCGAAGACGTGCTATCAGATTACATGAGAATTATTCACGGATTGCTAAAAAGATACTCACGAGTCACTCTAAACCAATAATAGCGGTGTTAACATTTACCTCAACATGAGTTCGTCTCAAACCGGTTTTGTCAGGGCTGCATGCGTGACAAAGTAACTTCATTTGGTTTTGACGCTGCCATGGTCGAATAGGAATTTCAGGCTTCATATCGGCGAGCTCATCATCGTGTGCGTCTTCTGCGAGCCCAGAGTCGAAGCATCGAAGTCATGTCGTTGAATCACAAAACCATAAAATAAGCAACAACCGCTCTAACCCAAGAAAACCCAAGTTAATCATTGGAACTTAACGAAGCGATTTGTTCCAGTCTTCCCTCCCAGCAAAAGCCCTACTTCCTAAATATAGGTAATGCGTATCAGTTGGCTAAGCTGAAACTATAGTTATTATTTTCGTGCTTAATTTGGGCTTATTGAGGAAAAATCGCGATGATCTCAAATACTCTTAGTGATGTCAAAGGACGTCATATACACTGTAAAAAATATTGACTAGCCCCTCGTCAAATGATTCTCAACGCTAAATGTCGGGGGTACAGACTAGTTTTGCATCCTACTTTTGACACACGCTGCGAGCCCCTGGCTTGTTTTGTGTTCGTCAGACGACAGTTACCAGGTGTCGGTTAGTTTTTACCACGTCCCAAAAATAGCTGGAGCGTTTCTGCCTTGTTTTGGAAGCCGGTCCTCGTTAATGCTGTGTATGATAACAAAGTACCTAGTAACAATAATAACGAAAAACAATGTCAAAACGAGGGCGGCTTGTTTAGTGACGATGCTCAAAAGAAGCATCGTCTTGTTCCTACTTAACGAATGAAGCTCAAACTAGGTCAAAACTAACGTATTGCTCAACCCATAGTCAGATGACCAGCAGATCCTACGCCGCCCAATCCAGTCATCGAATTTGCCAGCGAATTCGTTTGAAGACCATCATATTATTAAATATCGGTGGTCTTCAAACGAAATCCCTTACCAGTTTGATGACGAATTCATCCGGCCCATTCCAAAAAACGCTCAAGATAAAATGAAAGTGTATTTCTGAAATAATATGCTTTCTTGCAATGCACCTTTCGTATATCAAGCGAATCTTTCACTTCCAGCGCCCGTTTACAGTTATCAATCGAATCAGAAGCATGCACATACCTATCGATAGATCTGAACCTAAGAACACAGACGACATTTTGTAGAGTACCTGTCTGAGCCTATGCAGTGGAGCCCGTGAGCCGCCCAACCGCAGCTGCCTCATGAACTTGATGATAGGTCTGAACCTCAGATTGGCCAGAGCTTGGCCGTCAATAACCAGCTTATTTATATCCACAGTTGTAGTGACTTAGGGTTTGGAATTTGCCAAACCTAAGTTTTGATTACCAAGAGAAGTTTTGTACTTCTTGCACTTGCCCTTTCTTCATAACTTTGGCGGAAATCGTCGTAGTGAAACTTCAGTGTTCCGTTAGCTGTCGGTTCTTGAGAGAGTTGGCCAGGCCGGACACCGGGGGCGGCTCCACAACTTTCGAAAAATTAAACCTAAGTCCTATTGCACTGCATGGAGAGCAATTCATTTAAAATCGCTCTTGTTTCGCCCCCCCCCCCCTCGACAACTTTGCAAACGTCTCTGCGCGATTTGGTTGAGAATAATGGCTTATGGCAAGTTATTGAATCAGAACGTCGATCACTGCAGGTCATATATCGGCAAGCAATTCTTCATAACTAGACACTGCACAAATGGAAACGATACAGGTTTGCCCAGTGATAAACACTCGCACTGCACAGACTCGCGCACCCCCGACCGAACGCGGCACGGCACAGCGCAACAGCTGGCGCCGGGAAGCCGGGAACGCATTAAGTGAAGGATTCACAGGTGCGCAACTTTATTGCGAACAATAAAAACCTACCGCAAACGATTAAAAAAAAGTTGTAGGGCAATCGGAAATACAAATGTATTGACTTATAGAAATAAAATTGTCATTCACCTTCCAAATAACCCAACAATTTATTTGCCGTAAAAAGTGTCTGGAAACGGAAAGTTGCTAACATGATTCAGCAAGTAGGGAAACGCAGCCGCTACCTGGCGAATAATCTCAGGCTGGTTTAGTAACGAGTGCATTGCTACGGCTTGTTCCTCAACCTTCACAGATTACTATGACAAAACTACCCCTAGTATTTTGATCATCCTGAGGCTGGCTTTCACCTAATAATTTGATGAGGGTCTTCCTCGTTTCGGATTGAGGCGAAAACAAACGTCAAACAACCTTGATAGTTAATTCAGCACTTCAAAACAAAGGTACACCTAGGGTATCATTACAATACCGGATCATAACGATCTGGATAGTTCTCAGCCTGTAAGCTAACTAAGCGGTAACTAGTCAAGTGGTAGGTACCGGAAGCATTGACAACCTGGTGACTGTTTCGAGACCCTTGTTTTGACACATAGCTCGTCAATATTTTTTACAGTGTAGGGCACAAGTTGAATACAGACCAGGCATCAGTCCACGAAAACGGGGCACAAAAATAAATTTCAATTCCTGAAACATATTTGGATCATATTTGGCGCTAACTGAGCACTGCTCAGTTAGCGCCAAAACAGATACAGAAAAAACAATACAGAAACTGCTCAGTGAGCAGTTTCTGTATCACTACCTATGGGACATAATGGAGGTGTCACGTGACTGACGTGACCTCAGGCGACCTTTACGGAAAAGAAAATCAGAGGAAAAAAGCTGTAAAAATTTGAAAGCTTGTGATTTCCTAAGTTTCGTCTCCCTGCGAAAGATGCCCCGACTCTGAGAGCGCTGCGAATCTATACAACATTTTTAGACCATCGAGAGGTTCGCATATGACGTCATAGGTCACTGACCTGACCTGATATCAAAATGCAGCAAATGCCAGATGTTCAGGCTTAAGTATCAAAGGTCAGCTAAGCCAAATTAAAGTTCCCTAACCGGACGTGTTTCAACCCATCGCGACAAAAACAGCAGTGGTCGCACCAACCCCCTCCATCGGGGAAGGTTAAGTGATGAAGCATGTTCATAGCTGATGCGGACCCCCTAGATAGCATCCGATATAATTTTAATTTTGCACAGCGTCATTGTGCTACTAGTGGAACAAATTGAATCAACAGACAGATCGATTTGAAGACATCGGGGCGTTTGATGCACCCTAATGGCCATAGTTTGATGACCATGGTGATGGTCTCTTTGGGGCCGCCTGGTGACCGGTTACTGCAGCGGAGCGGGCCGCGCCGACAGGTATCTGGCGGAGACGATGCGCGCCCATTCGGCAGCCGCTCTTCAGCGGCGGGCCAGTGTGCCGCGGCCGGCCCGCTACGACACGCCCAGCCGCGAGCAGCTGGACGCCACCCAGGCCGTGCCAGAGAGCGTGGTGAGTGGACGAGCGGCGGCTGTTGGCGTCCCTTCAACAGCCGCCGCGCTCCGGCAGGACAGGCCACTGATTGGCCCCGCAGAGTCTGACTATTTCTCACGTAATTATTTATCTCTGCAAACATTTTTTCCCAGTCATGCGATCCGAGCAACATCTTGCCATCTTTAGCAACAAAGTATTTTGCAACTGCAACTATGCGGCACATGGCCATTGCCCAATGCCCATCCTGTTAAACCTAAAGCTGTCGGCCAGCGCATGGAGCGATAAATCGCCGTAACTGCAACCAGTACATAAGCGAGACGCTGCATTGCAATTCACTCCACTTTACATCCACCACCATTATCCGCCATTGTATTATCCACCATTGGACGGTGGACTGCATGATAAATGTTTAAATCTATGCTTGTCACCTGTCCACTCCCTAATTCAGCTGTATATTCCTGTCTCAGAGCCAGCACCCCTCAATGTCTACACATGTTCAGACATTGCGCTAACTCTAGAACTTCGTTTCAATTTTTCGTTTAATTTCAGAAGTTTGTTTTGCCTGTTGCATACATTCAATGTACTTAGCCTTTACCCATGCGCGTTTCATACAATGCACAATCACATACAAAGCGATGTGCGCTTCCCTGATCTTCTCCGCCCTCTCTCAATCCCTCTCCTCATCTACTCTTTCATCTCTCTTGCTTACCTGCACTGCTCTGCCTTTCAGCAAGAGGCACCAGCTCCGTAACGGCTGGTACGTAATAATTGTTCGTAGCGTGCTGTGTACCCTGCTAGGCTTCAGTGTAAATGTTCGTGGTGCTTTTGTGTGCTGCTTCGATGTGCGATTGACGTGTATATTATCGGGTCTAAACGCTGTCAATCCCTTTCTCTAACTCACGGGTTTATCGGTTATGATTTGTAAAGGATAATTGATGGCCTCTTGAAGTATTTTAGCCACTACATATATATGACCTGTCGCCTATCTTATCGTGTCTGTAATGCAGGCTACCATTCCACGATCCTGAGAATAGTGCTGGGTAATCAATATCATGCATCGTGCTATTTGTTACAACTGGTGACACATAAAAATAAGTTTCCTCACGAACTGATGGCTGTAAGGGAGTGGTATCGTAAAACCCGTTTAAAATTGCCTTCTTGAACGTGGGTATAGCTGCGGTATTAGAGCAAACGGTGGACAATATTGCGGAGCTCACCCTGCTTCTTCAAACGATGATATAGCGGGACATTCTTAAAATGACTAATAGAACAAATAGCTCGCAGTGTTCCTTACTTTCACAAACTTATTTGGGTCTTAATTTGGGACTGGCTTAGTTTTACAAACAAACCTACCGAATATGTCAGAATACGACAATGAAGACATACGAGTGTGCTAAAAGTTGTTAGACATTTGTAATCGTTTATGAACGTTGTAATCGTTTCATTTATTTACGATGTTTTCTCGCATGGATGCCTATCTGTACTTACTCATCTACGGGGAAGCTGTTCATTTTGGTGTGACTTTTTATTTTGAATGCTCTTTTCGATGTTGTGGTAATGTTTTGCTACTTATAACGATCAATTAACGATGATTACATGCTAAATTAACGGCATGAAAGATTTGTTTACCGATAGCTCATGTGTCTGTATTTGCATATCAAGTAGGTACGTTTATTATTAGGTATTATGCGTTTTATGTTTATGCTATTTGTATATATTTCACTCAATAGTCCTATGCGGTGCAAAGACAACGAGAAACAGTGCACTTTCGTTAGAAAATACCGTCACACGTTTCCATCGACTGGCATAACCAAACAAGCTACCTAAGGAGAAGGACGCACTTTCCAGCACACATATAATCAATATGCATGTAGGCATTCCAGAGCCTGTGTTGAGCTATATGATGCTGAACATGGTAACGTTGCGTTCCAACCCTTCCGGCCTTCATGGCTCATGCCTTGTAAGATTTGTGTGACCTAACAAGTTATTACTAAATGTGACCTTTGTGCGTCCGCCCTGACCGGCGAGAGATTGCAAGGTGCAACGTCTAAATGAAAATGGCGTCCTGGATTTTTCCCTTAAAACCCGAGCCTACCGAATTCAATAAATTGTCGAATCCCACACGGGACAGTTCCAGTAGGACTCAGAGACGTAAGCAATAAGCATGCCCTAGTCTGGGGTGACCGTTTGAGCGGCTGGATGGCCGGCCCTGCCAAGGCGCCTCGCTATATAGCGTTGGTCTCTGATCGATCAACCCCATTTATCGAGCAATACATTATAATGGATAATTATCAAAGTTGCCTGTCTGGTTCAGTCTGTCCTTCCCGTGCCCTGGAATCCTGGGGTAATAGCGACATCTTCATCTAGAGGTGTAGTGTAGTTCTTGTATAGATGTCGCCACAGCATGATGTCTCAGCAAGTCGATGAGGTCCAGCATGATTTTGTGCCTATGCGACACATACACAGATTTCTGTCGGAGAGGACAGGTCAGAATCTGGTGCATGTATCAGTAGACAGCTGAGCTGAGAGCTAAGGAACATCGATCAAAGATTTCACACCTTTCATCCATTTCAGTGATATCCATTCACCAGATGTGCTGGCGGAAATAACATGGGGTCTATAGAGTCCGCAAATGTGTTTGCAGTTGCACGTAAGAGCAAATGCATAATGAAGAAGAGCACCATAGACCTCTTTACACTGGTCTATGAGAACCGGTGTACAGAGGTCTCTGAGAACACTTATGTATGACAATACGAACCCTAGAGAACTCAAATCGCCTTGCCTCTGGCACCCTGACCACAGATGTCGTCTGCTCCTCTTTCAGAAATCCAAGATCGAGAGGATACAAAACCATCTGCCAGGTACACCCGAAGAACAGTGGGAAAATTGAAGACTCTTCTCAGCGGGCTTAGGGCAATCATTTGAAGTCAGCTCCATCGGATGGATATTCGACAATCATACAAAAAGATGTTTAAAATGATAGGTAAATGTAACTTACCTATAGCTCCTTTCGACCGCTAGTTTTGGACTGGTGTGTACTTATTGTATTATTATTGATGTGCGTGTATTTTTATTCATCTCTAACGTGTGACTTTAGTTTTGTGATATGAGACCGTGAGGTTACCCATATCGATATCAATTCACAACTGTCACTGCTGTAAACTGTGATAACTGTCATTTTGCGCCATCTAGTCATTTTGTCTAGGAAAATAGTTGTGATAATTTTTGCAGCGGACTGTGGAAAACAAAACTGTGAAGGCTTGAAGAATTAAAAAAAAATGTTCGATTATGTTACTGCGAATTTCGAGTGATGTTTTCGTTTTTCCGTAAGGTCGACATGCGTGCTGCTTTCACGAGTGTTGTTTTTAATGATCATATTGTTATCACTGCCGACATTCATTTTTACTGGATGCAACGTGTAGTAAGGGAAGTATAAAAGTTACGTAATCGAAGCAAGCTGGGCTGGCAAGACCAAACATTTTTCTAGTTTCGTTTTGTTTTCTATATCGTAGAATTTAAAACGTTCAGAAGACGGCATTTCGATTATACTGTTCGATGACGTTCTCAATAATTTTGAAACAATATGTGTTTGTATATCAATACATTTAATTTCGTTAGCTTGTTTGGTGGTCCACTACAAGGCGCACCGCTTGTCTGCGGGAAGCACGAACGGCAGCGTTCTGCTGAGGATGAGGGCGGAGCTACCTTATTCATCTTATCGCTGTAGTGGCTGCCGAATATATTGGTCCTTGCTGAATATGGACAGCCTCAGGGTCGTCCCACAGTGCCGTCTCATCGGGATGGAAGGCCAAGGGGGGGGGGGGGGGGGCTTTATGAGGGCGGGATATTTGAGGTAGGTAAGGGAACAGCGGTGACCGTATAGAGTTGTGCAATGGCCAACTGGTAATGCTCATCGTACTTACATGAATGTGTTTTTCAAATAAGTTTCGTTGCTACATCAATAATGCAGAAGAATCGGATATTGTTTCATTATATCATAGACAATGCCACAACGAAATTCGCCTTGTCGCTGTCTGTGACATCTCGAAACATGAATACTGTGATTTACATTTAGTTCAGACAACTGGCAAAGGCAAAGTAAGATCAAACATTTATGTACACTTCACAAAAATCCGAGTTGACAGTATTTTCGAGCCCGCACTGTTATGGAGCACCCGACCACAGAGGTCCCTATCGGGCAAAATTCGTCACACAGGGCATACAACGGACTTACACTTACAGGTACAACAGACGGTCCAATGGCACGGGCGCACACAACCGTTTACACACAACGCTGACACACAACGGTCAATTACACAACACTCTCGTACCGAGGTAAAAACACTGTTCACATGTCATACTCTAGACCCGCCACGGCTGAGGGGACCTCACATCGCGCCGCTGCGCAGGCAACAAACATTAGCTTAACATGAGCGCAGCCTCTGATCGGCAACGGTCATTCGCCTCTCTCGAACCAGCTCGGGCCCCCGTGGCCTTCGGACGTCGAATGACGTCCTTACGGCGGTTACAAGCACGCCGGGTTGAGTTCATACTTCATACCCAAGTTTGCATGAGTATCCTCCTTTTCCAGTTGTACGTCAAAGGAGAGCATTGCAGTGGGTGACTCTCCACCACTCTAAGTTGAAGTGGCGATATTCAGCGAAGGGCCGCCGCTGCGACTCTAAACTGGGGTCACTCTGCCTCGCCCTGTCCTCGTCTGATCGACATCACCCCAGGCAGCGCAGGCAGACTGGCACGCTGCCTGCATGTAGATGGAGCGCCACATTTGGCCCAGCCTGACCCCAGCCGGCGCCAAAACAGTCTGTGGGGAGCGGGCTGACATCCTCTCCTTTTGGACACCTGGCCACATACAAATGCAGCGTCCACACTACTACTAGTCACTGGACCACAGTCACTCTTGCCACTCTTCCCCTACTTGTCATGACGCACTGGCACTCACTGTAGTCTCTTGTGATAACACCAGCACACACTGTGACCACAACTCGGGCGATCTACCCCGCTCAGTCCCCCAGGCCGCACGTGTCCTGTCCCGACAACGGACGGTGTCGGCCGACGGCTGCTAGGAGACCAGTGCTCTCATACTACTCTCGGACTGGTCGCCGTTCGGCCGCCGCGCCACCTCCAGAAACCCGTTGTACGGCCGGCTCTTGGTCATGGGGAGGGTCTCCTCGGCAGCGGCAGCCGTACTGTCGACGGCCTCGGCCCGCCTCCTCTTCCAGCTGTGCGGGCGGGAGAAACGGTGTGTCAGAACTGCTCGAACGACCCAAACGGACAATTAATGCACTAACAACACGAATAATTACAGGCCATCCTTTTCATCGCCGTCCTATCAAGTTCCTGATCGCAGGTAAACGAAACCATTAATATTTACTAGCTATGTACAGTTGCGAGGACCCAATCTGTAAAATGGCGTGACGTGTCGTTCTTACCACCGCCACCGGATGTTGGGCTCGCCCTTGCCGAAGTTCTCGCCCTCCTCCATGGTCTCCGGCAGGTGCTGGTGCAGCGTCTCCGGCAGGAAGAACGACACGAACGCGCCCAGCAGCGTGACGCTGCCCATGATGATCACCGGCAGAAGACGTCCGTACGCTTTCTGCGGGACAGACACTCAGACTGAGACTCTGCACCTAGACTACACCAAGATTGAGGTCCTAGACTTAGACAGTCAGACTGCACACACGGAATTCACTCAGCCAGATTGTAGCTAGTAGCTACACTCGGACTCAGGGACAAGGTATCGGGTACGGCGGCATCAGGCCTACACAGGCCTAAATAGGCGCAGATGAAATGCAAAACAGTTACTTGTATGCATGGACAGTGGTCAGGCGACCTCGCGCACAACGGGAAGGCAAAGGAACGGCAGTATATAATCCGACAGCCTCGACACAGAGACATAACTACATAGAGCTCGGATGACCTCGCCTACATACAAGGACACACTACACAGGGACAGTAGTAGCTTTCGGCGCCTTCATGGCACCAGTAGACCGGAACAGTCACGACGTCTTGATCGATGCAGCGAGCGTTTACAGCACAAGCAGGGCGTATTTTAACATGTTAACTGGGTCGGCAATTGCCGACCCAGTCACGGAGAATGCCGACCCAGTGACAGCCGTTTGCCGACCCAGTTGCCGCCCCCTCTAGGATGCAGCACGCACATGCAGGCTAGGTGCCGTCATTCATAGTGAGGCTGCTGCCCTCCGAAATGATAATGCCGCCTCTTAAAGTGAAGCAGCCGTCTATAGAAAGTGATGATCCCACAACTCAATGTGACAGTGCCGCCCCTAAATCTGTTAGTAGTCCCACTCAATGTAATGGTGCCGCCCTTCTAAGCATCTGTGGAGCCCCTCAATGTGATGATACCGCCCCTCAAGAAGATGATGCCGCCCCTTTCAGTATCGGTGGCGCCCCTCAATGTGATGGTGCCGCCCTCAAAGGGCCGGTGGCGCCCCTGAATGTGATGGTGCTGCCCGCCAACGAGTCGATGGCGCCCCTCAAAATGATGCTGCCGCCCCTTAAAGTGTTGGCGCCGCCCCTTATAGTGTCAGTGACGCCCTTCGAAGTGTCGGAGGAACCCACTAATATAATGGTGCCGCCCCTCTAGATATCCACATAGCCCCTCATTGTGATGGAGCCGCCCTCAAGCAGATGATGCCGCCCCTGAATGTGATGGTGCTGCCCGCCAACGAGTTGGTGGCGCCCCTCAAAATGATGCTGCCGCCCCTTAAAGTGTTAGTGCCGCCCCTTATAGTGTCAGTGACGCCCTTCGAAGTGTCAGAGGAACCCACCAATATAATGGTGCCGCCCCTCTAGGTATCCACATAGCCCCTCATTGTGATGGAGCTGCCCCTCAAGCAGATAATGCCGCCCCTCAAGAAGATGATGCCGCCCCTTTCAGTATCGGTGGCGCCCCTCAATGTGATGGTGCCTCCCTCAAAGTGCCAGTGGCGCCCCTAAATGTGATGGTGTCTCCTGTCAACGAGTCGGTGGCACCCCTCAAAATGATGCTGCCGCCCCTAAAAGTGCTGGTGCCGCCCCTTACAGTGTCAGTGGCGCCCTTCAAAGTTTTGGAGGAACTCATCAATACAATGTTGCCGCCCTCTAACTTTCTGTAGCGCCCCTCCATATACATAATGGTGCCGCTTCTCAAACCATCCGTGGCGCCCCTCAAAGTGATGGTGCCGCCCCTTACAGTGTCGGTGGTGTCTCCTCAAAAGTCAAGGTGCCGCCTCTCAAAGAAATGCTGGTGTCCCTCGAAGTGTCGGAGGCGCTCCTCAATGTCATGTTGCCGCCCCTCAAACCTTCCGTAACGCCCCTCCACGTCATGGTGCCGCCCCCCCCCCCCCAATGTGCTCACGGCGCCCATATGTGATAGTAACGCCGGTCAAAGTGCTCCTGGCAGTGTCGGTGGCGCCCCTTATAGTGTCGGTGGCGCCCCGAACAGTATCGGTGGTGGCCCTCAAAGTGATGATGTCACCCTCAAACAAACGGTGGCGCCCTTCGAAGTATCGGAGTCCCTAAATATCATACCTATTGCCGCCCATTAACGATCTGTAGCACCCCTCCATATGATGGAGCCGCCCCTTAAAGTATCCATGGCGGTCCTTAAAGTTACAGTGCCGCCCCTTACAATGTGGGTGGCGTCCTCAAAATAAAAGTGATGTTGCCCCCCCCCCCCCCCGAGTAATGTTGGCGTCTCTTTCTTCTTTTTAAGTATCGGAGGCGCTCCTCATTGTCATTTTGCCCCACATCACTGCTCACATGGCGCCCTTCAATGTAATGGTGCCACCCCGCAACGCTCAAAGACATAATTGCGCTCCTCACAGTGTCGGTGGCCCTAAAAAAAAATTGGTGGCGCGCCTCAAAAAACAAAATGATGCTGTCGTCCCTTAGCATATCTGCAGCGCCCCCAAAATGATAGTGCCTTCCCTTAACCGGCGCCGGGCTGAGTTTGTTTAAACCCCCCTCCCGACCCCTATAACTTGGCTACTTAGGCCACGTAGCGACACGCGGTAAGCGGTATTCGAAAGAGTGTCAAAAACTGCTTGGGTTAGTTGGTTAATCGTGCTTTGGTTAGGGCAAGTCAAATGTCAAATATCAGGTGACCAGAGGTCATCAAAGGTGAAATGTGGGTGAAATGTTGTCTGTTTCAACATTTATTGACAAACTGGCGCATAACTCGGGGAAGAATAGAACTACAGCACCGCGAAAAAGCGCATTCGATAGCTCTTCAACGTTCCTATGAAGTCTTCAGACTTGACCTAACATCAACGGCTTAACCTACAGAGCACAACTTGTTTAACCCGTGCCGGGCCGGGGAGGGTTGGAGGGGACAGTGGACCCCCTGCGCCCCTCTACTGAGCTGTTTTAATGAAGAACCTTTTACTGTAATAATTATTGACTCACGAAAGTTATGACATTGTTTTTTTCAGTACTGTGCTCCTCTCGTCGAGATGCGTCGAATGAACTATAATTTGACATTCAAACGTCATTTGGGAAATTTGAGCTCAGGTCCAGGTCATGACCTGGCTGGTAAAGGTCATGTTGCATATCAGTCGATTTGTATCGTCAAACTGAAATCATCTATGTAAGGTGTTTTCATCGCTCAGGCATGTCGCATGTCTCTATCAGAAGTTATTGGAAAAACTGCTGGAGGCCTACCATGACCTGACATGACCTCAAGGACATAACGAGGGGTCGTGGGTGGCAATTTTCCGATTAAGTGTGTCATTTTTAATTGTTTTCTGATGTTTAAATTCGTTAATTTTGACATTTGTCTACCTATAAAAAGAGGCACATGCCCTGATTTTCTCCCATTTCCTTTTACCTAATGGAAGGGTCGCAAAATTGTCCTTACATTTGGTCAGAGACATCGCAATTTCGAGACTTACATTTAACCCTCGCCGGTTGATGCAACCCCCCTAAGGTTTATCGCGAATAACTCGCGTAAAAAGCGGCCGATCGCAACGAAACTTTCAGTACCCTCGAATTGATCAATTTTACACCTACCCTGCAAATTGATGACCCTGACTTCAATGACCTTTCACCTGTGACCTCTTTTCCGTGACCATGTTTGGCCGAAATCAAGATTCGGCGTATGTCGGCTCGCATTAACCGCGCGTTTGCAAGCTTTTCGTGGTTTCAAACGTTCAAACATGTGATTTGATGTTGCTCCCATGCATTAGGGTGGGTGTCAAGGTCACCTGAAGGTCAGGTCAGGTCATTGACCTTTGGTGACCTCGGTTCACTTTTTCGAGTTTTACATGTTTCTAGGCTAGTTTTTGGAGCTGAATTCGAATTTAGCAACCATTTAAATATTTCCGAAGTAGTTTTGGTGCCTTCGTAACATGTTACGAAGCTGTCAGAGGCGGATGACAGGTACTACGAATACCCGGTACGACCCCTACCGGTTGACCTGACCTGACCTGACCTGACCTGACCTGACCCGACCTGGTCTAAACGCTTAACGACATCATCTGTGATCAAAACTAACACGATATTTGTGATCAGCACCACGGAAAACCCCTTAGCAGCCACAATTTACGACTTTCAAACAGGTCCCGATATTCCCGATTTTTGGGTCATTGACCTGACCTGGAAGGTCAACCGATGACCTAGGACCTTGAAATTGGGTATCATTGGCTTCCTCTCGTGACGGGCAACACGCTCGTTTTTTTCTGCGAAGCTCTAGCTCCATCAGGGGCCAAACGAGGGGGGGTCGTACCAACCAACCTTGTGCCGTCGAAGGACTCAAAATGGCCTGTGCCGGCGAGGGTTATATATACAGTTACACACTGTTTGTCTTATCAATCGCTGAAGTTATAAAGGGATCGTTCAGTCGGTATATCTATGGTGAGCATTTGCCTGTTCCGTGGCTCAGTTGGTAGAGCACCGGACTCCCCGCATTGTCTTCGCTTGCGTTTTGTCCGCCGGCCGAGCCGGAGAGAAAGTTACCGAGTGAAGGTCATTCAAAGTTCAAAAACTCAATGACAATGTCACTGGGGTCACGAAAATGTTTGAGTAGGTAGGTATAACATTCATTAACCTGGGGGGGGGGAGGGATGAACGTATCGTTGCAATACGCTGCAGCGAGTAACTAATAAATAAAAAATGTATGAGTTAATCCTTACTCCACACGCTCTCCCTCTCCATAAAAAAGAGAGTTAATTGTGTTGCATTTTATCTATATGCAGAAAAATAGAGGCGTCAAAGGATATGGCCGAATATCAGCGACCCTTGCTGTGTAAGCAATGGGGTATGACAAGTGGGGGTAATGGCCCCGTCCAGCGCCCATAAAGTGGGCACACTCGTGCGACCTGCCGACCACTGTTCTAGATAGAGCAGTGATGCCATCCACATTTTTGCTCCATCCCAAGATCTCGACCAGAATTTCCCAAGATTCTCGTCTCGAATCCCAAGACTACCCATCGCATATCCTTAGGTGTACCACAAGTAAATCCATAGATTATTTTGGACATATTAGTGTGTTTTATTCAGCTTTCTCTTCTTCGGGTCCACCCTTGTCCTTATTGGCGTCTTTACAGCAACTAATGTACATACATTGTACAGCCCTCTGCAGACTGCGTGGTAGGTATTCTTTTTTCGACAAAACCGAGAATAACGCGAATGCTATGCTATCGGGCACTCGGAAATCGTAACAGCAAGATGCGCGAGACTCCGCAGCTTAAATTGGCATTATCATCGTATGCATTTTCCATCCAGTTTGGCAACAAAACCCAAAAGTTTATATTTGCCCCCAAACGAACTTTTACATTTTGTTGCCACACAAGGCGCATGCTTTGTTTATTGATAGGCCCTATCGAAGGAGTGGAGCATGGCGCATCTATTTGCAGTGAGTTTCGGCCGACTGATAACATGACTTTTGAATTATTATCAGTTTTGTCGGAAAAAGAATATCTACCACGCAGTCTGCTGAGGGCTGTACCTAGAGGCCGGGGGGGGGAGGGGGAGGGGGTCGATCGGACTCCTACAGCTGATATTCCTGACCGAGTATAAGAGCTTCACGAAAAATGAAGATGCTGGCCTAGACAACATTAAGCCGGTGGTATCTGATTCTATGGTCAGGTCATTCGTCGACCGTCAATGGTGGGTCAAAGACCCAAAACACAAAGTCCGAATCTGTTAGAACTTCTTGGAAACGAAATCTGTGGCATTTTGGATTTATTTCGAAATTTGTCTGACACATTTGGAGAAGCTAGGGTCAAGTGAGGTCAGGCTGTTTTTAAGTGTCTTTCACCACTGACAGTTTTGAAATAGGGGCTCCAAAACAAGCTCTTAAAAGCTTATGTAAATCCCGAAATCGAAAAGCCTATGCTGTGAATCTGCGTGTAAGCCAGTGCCCGCTGGGGCCCATGGATTTTCAAGCCGACGATGGCGAGGGGGTCTAAACGAGGACCTAACTCGTCCCCTGGACTATATAGCTACAAGACGTCAGCAGTGTTGTGAAGGTCGCAACTCGCAAGGTTACGCTTTGATTATTTTTGGTCCAGCAGAGCCCAGAGGTCAGGTGACCAGGCACTTTTCCGAGGTCAAAAAATTGCCCTTATTTTGGTTCGCGGTCAAAGGATAAGCCTCCATAGAGCAAAACCGTAAAATGAAGCGCTTTGTGCGGGAGCCGCTTTCTGAAATATTTTTTGGACATAATGTTTGTAAAAGCTTTTCATAGCCACCCAACATCATGCCGCCAAACCACCCATCCCCGTTGATTGGTAGAGTTGGAAATTAAACAAATGAGCGCCAGTTGCGAACAGCAGCGACTGAAAGCTGCTACTATACCCATAACAAGTAATGGTACAAAAATAATCCTGCGATCTCGGGAAGAGAATGCCTGCAAGAAACATCGCAAGCTTCGTCCGTTACCTACTTCAATATGTTTGAATGCTATTAACCTCCGTGAGGCAAATCCATCCTAAATTTATTATCGACCAAGGAGAAAAAACATTCGACAGCATGAGAAGACAAAGTGAAATCAGCTTCTGCCAGATCCCAAGATATGCAGTGCAAATCACAAGATCCCAATGTTAATGTTCAAATCCCAAGATCTTGGGACAAATCCCAAGGAATGGCATCGCTGAGATAGAGCCATAAAACGCCGTGAATATTTTAAGCTTGACGATACGAATCGACTGGTATGTAACATGTTTACCTCGGGTAAAATTTTAAAATTACTTTTTGTTAGGTCAAATTATAGTTCATTTATCGCATTATGATGAGAGAAATACTATATCCCGGAAAAATAAACGTAATACCGCTGAGCTTAGGTTGAATCTGAAATCATTACTTAGGAAGAGTTATAAAAGAACCGACGAACGAGTCTTTTTTGGTCATTAAATATCAGTAGGTATGCCGCCCCCTCAGATGCCAAGTGCCGCCCCTATGAGTGCAAAATGCCGCCCCTAATTGTGATTGCCGACCCAGTGAAAATCCCTTAAAATACGCCCTGAGCACAAGGAAGCTGAAGTGACTATAACGACTATAACCATCAGAGACAGGCACATCCCACAGGTATACAAAGCTAGAATGCGAATGCTCAGTAGTTTTTTCCCACATATTTATAAGAGTATATAATTGAAACAATGTTCTTCGATACCTGATCGATATGATGCTCGTAAGAATAACTGCAGCTTCAGCCTACCCTAGTATTTTCTGAAGCAAAGCTCGCTGTTTTAGGACATTTAAAGTGTATATTACTACAGCAATGTCGTTTCATCTGCCACTAACCAGCTCCAGGATCTGTGGGAAGATGAGCAGGCCGATGCCGGCGAAGAACGAGGCCACGGCCATGGCCTGCGAGCGGATGACGGTCGGCAGTAGCTCGCCGCTGAACACGTAGATGACGGCGAAGCTGCCGGCGATGCCGAACTTGCCGATCATGGCCAGCGTCACCGTCCACCAGACCGCCTCTGAAGGCACAGCGGAAGACCATGGTGTCAGACATGTGAACTGGAGGACGGAAAGTGACTGCTGATGGGTACAAGCGCACTTTGTGGAAGGACTGGGAACGTAAGACGGCGGAGCGACAGACAGCGGTGACGTGTAGAGGAACTGGCAAATGGATTGCAAAGTGACGAATTGGAGTGTAAGACAGAGTAACTGGATGCCTACGACAAATGACAACTCGGGTGTCAGAATAGGAGATAGGGAGGGAATAGGAAGATGGAGGTTGTCGACTGAACGACAGAGCCGAGGAATGGCACAGATGTCAAACGACGCATGACCGTCAGACAGAGTAGCATTAATATTGAGCACAGACACAACATGCAGTGCCATGAGACAGTGCTGACTACTGAATACAGTCACCGATACGCCATTGCCTATGTAAGTGGCATTGACAGAATCGTGTCATCAAGATTCACTCCAATGTCTGCATACCATTCCAGCTTATTAAATCCCTGTCACACTCTCAACAATCATGTTCCCTCTCCGCTAACCTTTCGGCACGAAGATGCAGCTGACACAGGCCAGCCCGCCGAGCAGCATGGTGGCACACAGACTGAGCCTGCGACCCCACCGCTCCATCGTGTACATGACGATGAAGTAGCTGGGCACCTCCACCATGGCGCTGATGAAGAAGGCCAGGTAGTCGGAGACGCCCAGGTCGGTGGCGTTGTAGCTCAGCCCGTTGTAGACGATGGCGTTGGCCGTCCAGCTGAAGGTGATGATGAGGAACTTTTTGCGGATGTTGGGGTAGCCGCAGACCAGACAGCGCATGGAGACGGGCGCCGGCTCCGCGGGCACATCCGGCTCGTTCAGCTCCTGGAACATGGTACATTGAATAGCCGGTCCATAGCCGGTCCATAGCCGGTCCCGTAGCTCAGTTGGTTAGAGCGTTGGACTCCGCGTGGTGAGAGCACGCGTTCCCGGTTATGACAGTCCGGGTTCGAAGCGCTACGGGCGCTCGACATTTATGGGCCTCCTGACAGGTATGGTTGCGGTTGGTGGCAGGCCGTAGCCAGGCGAAGTCAGCGAGGGGACCGGCCGTGCGCGGCTTTGTGCGCACGTTAAACTTTGGACTCTAAATTCTGCCATAGAATCGGAATTGCGCGATCGGAGGGTAGAGGGCAGGGTCATCGCAACAAGCTCCGCTTAGCGGTGGCTCTGTCCTTGTGAATCCTTCCCATCAAAAGGTTCGGACTAAATTTATAAAAAAAAAAAAATTAAAAAAAAATTGAAGCGTCTGATACTCGCCAACTTGGCTATAAACAGTGGTAAACTTGGCAGCCTGAGCTAGAGTGGCCAGTTTACTAGGCGGCCTGATGTAATGCCTGATGTGTAGGCGGCCTGATACTCGACCAATGTTCACCTCAGTGTCATAGACACTAGACAGGGCGTCAGGCAGCGTATATAAAAGATCTGCCACACCACACATCGTATCGGTTTCGCTAAAAACCGTAGTGAATTGAGAGAATTCACTCACCTTTATGCCTTCCAGATAATTCGTTGGTATGGGCTTTTTGTTGACCTTGGCGATTTTCTGGACTATTCGTTCGGCCTCCTCTAATCGGGCGTTCTGGATCAACCATCGCGGAGACTCGGGCATAATCCAGTAATATCTGCAACAGGAAGAACTCTAATGTGATACCTAGTCTAAGTAGGTTCACAGGTCAAAAAGGTTAATTTGCGAATGATTTTTTTTTATTGCTTACAAGACCAACTTTATCTCATTTTCAAAGAAAAATAACAAGGACAAACTTCCATGCCTCCTTATTCGCTACCAGTAGGGGAAGTTGGGGCAATGCCGGAGTTGGGGCAAAGCCGAAATTCGAGATATTTCGAAAACCGTAAGACATGGATGCCACCTGTCAGTGATGCTCTGAAGCCTAAGTGACTACAATTATCGCATGTTTGTTACGAGTCGTCATTCGGAATACTTCGGCTGTGAGGGCGCCAAGAGCGTTTTCAAGGTACGCGTTCCTTGTACTACATGCGCCTTTGAAGCTGCATTTCTTACTCATTATGCTACCGTTTGTCTGGCCAATTCGGTCAAGTAATCTTCAGCATGTCTTTGCATAAGTGTGCTGCCTATTTGAAATTTATACGGCACGTTGAAAAGTTATGGGCCTGCAAATGAAAGCATGGCTGGCTGGGGTAATGCCGAAAACGTGCAATTACGCACGTTAAAGCACGCTACGTGGACTTTACTGCTGTAGAATAGCAACGCGAATTTTTAGTCACACAAATTACACTTTCAACCGACGGAACGGCCTGTTACCTATAAGGAATTATTTACCTGGCATTTTCTTATTATATCACATAATTATAACTTCCAGTGTGCACCAAGCGTCCTCAAGCTCTTAAAACGCGTGTCAGGTTTGATAAATTCTGGATAAAGTTTGAGATAAAGTGGCAAAACATCAATGTCGGCATTCCCCGTAGATAATTTCTCCCATTTTCGGCTTTCCCCGCAGTCCGGGGCAACGCCGAAAAAGTCACTTCTTTGATATTTTTAGTTTGTGCGCTTAACCCGCGCCCCACTGGGGGGGGGCTATTTATAGCCCCCCTCCCGTTTTTCTGCAATAACTTCCAAACCGCTTGACGGATCGACGCCAAACTTTCAGTATCTTCGGCTGCATCAATTTGACACCTTGTGTCAAAATTTGAACTTCGTAGCTACCATAGGTCGGCCGGAAATGACGTCAGAGTGACGTCATGTTCGTCCGATTTCGACGCAAAACATTGAACCACGGCAATCGCTCCCAAGAGCTCAGTTTTTAAGCTAGATCCAATTTCTTTGCATGAAAGAACTCAGAATTGACCGCGCTATCAAACTGCTATCTCGGATTTTCAAAATTTTGAAAATTTCGAAAATTTTATATAATAATATTCAAAATTTGTATTTTTATATTTTTTTCAAAAAGTTTTTGACTTTTCGAAAAAACCGGAATATATGTGACAGAACGCATGATTATGACTACCTCTAGCAAGTTTTAGCTAAATATCTTCAAAAATGGCCAAGTTATACGCATTATTGCAAAAAATTCACAATTCTTATTTTTTCAAATCAATTTTTCAGTACGTCTTTGGCATCGTACACCAATATGAATGGCACCATCGTGTTCCTGAGCTCAAACTGCATCCAATAGACACATTTTTTGTTGAAAAATTTCAACTTCAAAATTTGACCTTTTTTTTGACCTGAAAGTGACCTGACCTAAGCTAAATTCGACTCAAAATGACCTCGAATGACATAGACGACATCAAATTCGAAATCTATGGCCTAAATGGACCATAAAACATGTGTCACGTGACCGAAGCATGATATAATATTTTCGTGACCTGTGATGACCTGACCCTGACCTGAAAATCAAAGTACAAGTTTGGTACCCTCAAGGTATCTAGAGCATCTGTTCACGAGTGTGGAATCCAAAAATGAGCCTGATCTGACTTGTAAGACGGCGGCCAGAGCCCAAAATGTGAACAAGCCAAAGTGCTAATAATTTTTACTTTGACCTGACCTGTGACGTCATCGGTGACCTCGAGGTCAATGAAATTAGGTTTCGCTCGACAGTTTTTCCGGGGCTATCAGACGCCGTTTGAATTTTGACGATCGGCCCAGTAGTTTCGGAGTTAGGAGGGGGGGGGGGCTATGAATAGCCCCCCCCCCCCCCAGTAGGGCGTGTTATACACAGACCCCAGTGGGGCGCGGGTTAACGGTATGCGAATTCATCAAATGCGCCTGGTATGTTTGAAAGGCAAAAGACTGGCCTCTCGAATGACGCCAACAAGAATAGCTTATGTTGTCTACCTTGCGTGCTACGGGCGTCAGAAAAAAAGTATTCGGCGTTCCCCCAACTTCCCCTATCTAAATATATAACGAAATTGGTCTCCGGCTGGCCGCACTATTGTTTCGATCATGCAATTGTTAGAGGTCAAACACCACCCATTAGGACGGAAATCGTCTGGTCTAGGACTTAAACTAAGACCATCCTTGCTAAACTGTGCCTCGCATCTGCTGGTTAGGCTCGGATCAACCATCCCCTATACACTCAGCAGCGTCGAACGGCTCCCTGTTTCGGTACTCACGACGCGAGCAGCACCCAGGGCACTGACAGACTCAGTGACAGCACAAACCAGTGCCGGCACAGGTAGGCGATGCCCGCCAGCAGCGCCAGCGCGAACGCGAAGAACACGCAGATCACCATGCCGGCGAACGTACGGTAGGCGGGTCCCATCAGCTCCAGCGCTGACGGGCGGGGCGGGACGGTCAGGTGGGCTGCGTGTTACTGTTAGTGATGCCGTAAATGCGCCTCAGGAAGGTTCCTACTCAGCAATCTGCAGCCAGCGATCACAATAGTACCTACATTTCGGTGTTGGAGGTACCGCCAATATATAACTGCCAGTGTACTATAGTCAGGTTCAATAACACAGTGCCGATGTGTTTGTGATATCACATGGCTGAATAATTGAATTATGATAAAAGGCTGCTTATGAAAGACCAGAAGATCGTGCTCAACTGTCGAAAAGAGTTAACTTAGCTTACAATGCGGCAGGCTTATTACTATTAGACGGGTGATGATCACAGTTACGTCACACTCGATGCTGTCTCACTTACCAAGAATGAACGGAATCTGGTAGAGCGCCGGGAAGGTGAACCCCACCACGGTCCGGATGGCCATGTACATGGTGAAGTTGGTCGAGAAGCTGCACAGGATGGACAGCGGGATGGCCACCAGCATGATGACCAGGGTGCCGGTCCGGCGGCCCCACCTGCCGGTCAGCGGCGGGTGCTCGTGACACGGGCTAGGCGCGCGGTGGCGGGTCATTATTCACAGACGGCACACGGGCGGAATACGCTGCTCAGTGTCGGCGCGCCTAGCCCAGCTCCTCTGACGGCAGCGGGCGTCCTATAAGGCCGTCTGACGCCACCTGGCTGGCACAGCTGAATCGGTTGTACCCCCTGACCCGTGATATGATCATCAGACGTCTTACAGGGATGGCTGTAGGCTTATCTTTGGCAGGCTACAATGAAATAACGAAACAGCATCATTAGCTGATGTAATACGGAATGCATGCATTGACAAGCTGTAAATAAAATGGGAAACGTAAACGGCGAAAGGCAAAAAGCGCTCACAAGCTTTGTGTCATTCAGTATGCTGTGTTGCAGGCTAGTCTACAAATAGTCGGGACGCAGGACGAGTCAGTAATGATTTGTTCGCACTCACTTGTCTGCCATCCAGCCGAACAGTACATTGCCGAAGAGACTGCCCGTGAAGAACAAGGTGATGCTGAAACCGGGCTGCCACTTGTCCGCACAAACCAGATCAAACTGGAATAGCGTCCAAAAAAAGTTCCAGGGTGTTGACCTCAACTACACACAACACCATACCTACATAATCGCTCATGATTGTGATACGCCAGGTCGAATTGGAACAACCCATAACAACTAAAACCAAGCGTAGCTAAAAAAAAAATCCCGTTTCCTCTAACACATTCGCAGCGCACCTAAAACTGCACACAAATAACGCGCAGGGGGTGACTGCAATTATGCACTACACGGTATCTACACGTTCATTTTGACAATATAAAAGTCGAACTGAAACGGCACAAAAAATAACGCACGCATTAACAAAAGGCATACCTAATGTTGAAAATCGGGCCCAAGGACGGCGAAATGTTTCCTTGCGACTACCAGTGCTGAGTAAAAAGGCATTTCACGCTTTAGACCATTGTTTGTCCCTTTTAAGTTCGAGAGAAAGCAGAGTGTCCACGGGTGCCTCGTGTCGTCTTTTACTCTAGTTACGTCGTGGCGCGGGTACTGCGATGTAGGTTCGGTGAGGGAGGGAGAAGAGGGAATGGGGGGGGGGGGCTGTTCCGGTCCGTATGCCCCGGTTGGCTCAAACAAGGATACCGCGCTCATTGCTGCAGCCGGCCGGCCCAGACCAGCCGTGCTTCCTCAGTCCGATACAAGTGATAGCGCAGGCCGTAAAGGCTGGTTGGCTCCGCGGCATTCACTGATAAAGCCTTTTGAATTGTAAATCACATCCCGGCCCGTGCTAGACGTCAAATAACACCAATAGACGATACATTAATAGTCCCGAAAAGGAGCAGATAGGGAGATGTCTTCAATCCTTGAAAGGTACACACGTGATCGGTTGTCGGCTGAACGTTTTGTGACCGTACAAGGCATGTAGAAATGTGCTGCGTGCGAGCGGCAATCACCTTTCAGTGCGAGTGACGCCAAGCATGTGTGGAGAATGTTTGAAAAAGTTACCCCGGCCGGCGACCGAAAGTCAGAAAGACGATGATGCACAAATATTTGTCAACGGTTATCAACAAACCCCTATTGTATGGCATGGAACAATGGATGTCTGCCGTTACGAGTTATCCAATGTTTTATTTGCAGTGATTTAGCTCGAATTTTTGAATGGACCGATTGACAGAGCCGGGGGCCCACGCTAAGCAGAGCCTGTTGCGTAGGTAGACCCCGGACCCTACCGTCCGACCGCGCAATTCAGGGTAACGGGATAATTTATATGCCAAAGTTACACGTGCCCTTCAAAGCCGGACACGGCCTGTCCCATTCAACTGACTTCAACTGGCTGCGGCTGCTCCCACCAACCGCAGACCATCACCGTCAGGAGTCTCAAATATCGAGCGCCGGAGCGACTCGAACCCGGGCTCTCGGGAGTCCGTTGCCTCTACCAACTGAGCTACGGGACAGGCTTATGTTATGAACTTTGAGAAAAGTCGTTGGAGAACGCTAAAATCAGAGAAATTTGGCTTTTATTATCTATGGTGATTTTATGATTGAGCTTGTCTAAAACTTGACCAGATTTCTCTGATCACGTTTGTCCCTCTTTCAAACGTCGTTCCGCTTTTCGCCTCGTAGCCCAGTAGCCGAGTTAGAAGGAACGTGAAACGCCGACCGCTCGACTCAACGTGTTACGATAGGGCCACCATCCTGGCGCGGGTTAACCCTCGCATGTGTAGGGGGGAGGGGTCGGATGGACCCCCCCCCCATGGTTTTTCGCGAATAACTCGCGTAAAAAGCGGCCGATCGCGACGAAACTTTGAGTACCCTCACATTGAACAATTTTACACCTACCCTGAAATTTTCATGACCCTGACCCAAATGACCTTTGACCTGTGACCTCTTTTCCGAGACCATGTTTGGCCGGAATCGCGGTTCGGCGTATGTCTGCCCGCATTAGCCGCGCGTTTGCAAGCTTTTCGTGGTTTCAAAAGTTCAAACATGTGATTTGATGTTGCTTCCATGCATTAGGGTGGGTGTCAAGGTCACCTGAAGGTCAGGTCAGGTCATTGACCTTTGGTGACCTCGGGTGACCTCGGTTCACTTTTTCGAGCTGTACATGTTTCTAGGCTAGTTTTTGGAGCTGAATTCGAATTAAGCAACCATTTGAACATTTACGAAGTAGTTTTGGTGTCTTCGTAACATGTTACGAAGCTGTCAGAGGCGGTTGACACGTACTACGAATACCTGTCACGATGCCTACTGGTTGACCTGACCTGACCTGACCCGACCTGGTCTAAATGCTTTAAGACATCATCTGTGATCAAAACTAACACGATATTCGTGATCAGCACCCCGAAAAACCCCTTAGCAGCCACACTTTACGACTTTCTAACAGGTCCCGATTTTCCCGACTTTGGGTCATTGACCTGACCTGGAAGGTCACCCAATGACCTAGGACCTTAAAATTGGGAATCATCGGCTTCCTCCCGTCACGGGCAACACGCTCGTTTTTTCCGCGAAGCTCTAGCTCGATCAGGGGCCAAACGGCAAGGGGGGGGGGTCCAACCGACCCCCCCCCCCCTACACATTAGAAGCTGGCAAACGCCGCACACATGCGAGGGTTAAGTTGGAGGAGCCTTGAGCCCCAGCCCCCAACAGCTCGTCCTTCTATCTCACTGATATTACCCTCGTCCTCTCTTGTGATGATATTGCAGTGCCATCTTACGATATAGGCCCTTAAATATGATTTAGGTTTGTTAGATGAAACTTGTCGGGCTGCGCCATGAAAAAAAATTGAGAGCATAGAAGCTCCAAAATGAAAATAAAGTAAATTTAAAAAAAAAAACGTTTCAAGGTAGATAAGAATAATGAGAGACACTTATAGGTGGCAGTTTTTCGCATGGATATAGCTTTTAGGATTTACAAAAGTGGACAAAGTTACCCCGGCCGCGCCGGGGTAGGCTGAAAGTTACCCCGGCCACGGCCGGGGTGGCCGGGGCAGGTTCTCCACCCATGTCGATTGGCATTCTACGGATAAAGGACCTATTACTTCGGTGGCTGTTGACAATAATTTGATCGCTGACGAATAGTATTGACCGTTCATGCAAGCGCCTCACATACCTGAATCCTATCTATTGCTCCATAAAAGTGCTAGTCCTTCAAAGATAACATTTTCAGTTGTGTGCGAATGTCAACCGTCTCCTATGTATTTAAGACGATATTCCTATCTTGTCACATGCCATTTTCATTGACCCAAACAGGTCAAGGCTAGAACAGACTTTTAACTTGGCTCGGTACCAGGCACGATCGTGCAGTGCTTCGATAGGTACAGCCCACCGCTAAAGTAATGTAGGGTTTTACCAATCTCAACGGTTGGCTTTGACTGGCGATTGTTTAATGCGGAGTGATCGAAAAGAAGATGTCAATAGCTAAAGTTGCAGCTGCAAGGGTGACGATACATATAAGCTACATTCAAAGTTTCATTGTAGTCTGGTTAATCGTTCCTAAGCTTCAGAAGCAGAACATACCCATGACTGAAACCGCACATTACTTCTGCTGTGGACTGTACATACCTACCCATTCGTATGGATCGACAGTATTTGTAGGCTATAATTGGTTTATTATTTACATCGTAAGCCCTTACATAGTCAAAACGTTCAGTTGCAGTTCAAAATGATAATCAAATGGAAAGGACTGAACTTAACGCTAAATAAAATATGAGGGGTTCTCCTCCAACACCAGGGACGGGTGTTACCGCACGACGACCGTCATGTCTGAAGAAATACGGGCTGCAACGAACGGTATTACACGTATCTTAACAACCGCTATGCATCCGGATTCCTGGTGAATAGCCTAACCATGGCAAATAAAAACAATCAAGCAAACTTATAAACAAACCATTAACCCGCGCTCTGCTGGGGGGTGTTTGAACACCCCCCCTTGTGGTTTTTCGCAAATATCTCAAAAACGGCGGCGCGGAGCGCCGCCGTTTTTGGTACACCTTGTCATACATCAATTCTACACATGTTGTGAAAATTTCAGACCAAGGTCATTCAAGGTCAGGTCACCAGGTCACTTGAAGTGACCTCACCTCATAAAAAGTTTCAATGTCTGCCATAGCTACACCGAGTGACCGATCGCTTTTAAACTTTCAGCGATTGCTAAGAGCAATAGCATGTACAAAATGTATATCTCAGAATTTTGATATCGATGACCTAAGGTCAGGTCAATTTTGCGACCTCCCCATTATAAGTCAATGGAAGAAAATTGAAATGCGCCTCTTTTGGACGAAAGACATTATAAACACTCCCAAACACCGAATTACAAGTGGTTAAGACACACTGAACATGAAAATGGTGTCCGTGACCCCTGTTTATGCCCTGAGGTCATCTTAGGTCACGAATGGTATCTAACGGTTTTTCGCAAATAACTTTTGATAGAGGCATGCTAGAGCGATGAAAACGCCTTAGATGTGTTAAGCTCGACGATACGGATCGACTGATATGCAACATGACCCTTTCCGGCCAGGTCATGACCTTGACCTGAGGTCAAATTTTCAAGTTGACCTTTCAAGGTCAAGTTATAGTTCATTAGATGCGTCTTGACGAGAGGAACACGATGCCGGTAAAAGTAAGCTCGTACAAGGCTTGGGTCAAAAGTTATTGCAGAAAAACTGTTTCCGAAAAAATCGGCTATTTTTGCAGTTTTTGCCCCCTGCAGGCAAAACCGTTGACGTTAGGTCAAATCTGAGAGAATTACTCAGAAAGGGCGTTATAAGGGCTATCGAATGCGCTTTTCCGCGGCGCTGTAGCTCTATTGGTTCCCGAGTTATGCGTTGGCTTCTTGGAAATTTTCGACATTCGACCTGGAAATCGGCGAAATTTTGCCTTCAATGACCTCTGGTGACCTGACCTTTGACCTGACAAAAAAATTGACCGAAGTGATTTCGTCATCATTTTTGACGCTCTTTCGAACGCCGCCTTCCGCGTATCGCTACGTGGCCCAGGAGCCGAGTTACAAGGGGGGGTGTTCAAACACCCCCCCCCCCCCAGCAGGGCGTGGAAATCCAGGACCCCCAGCCGGGCGCGGGTTAAATAAACGAACAAAAAAGCCATCCAGATTGGGCACCGACGGACTGATTCATGGGTGCGCCCTGTATGACCGCTCACCTTGGTTGTGAGCGTCTCGTCGTAGAAGGTGGTGTCGTACTCCCAGCGGTACCGACAGGGCGCTGTTGGCCACGAGGCGTTGGCTCGCTCCGGCCACTGGCCACCTTCCTGGTACCACAGGGCCGTGAAGTTGACGTCGTACATGGTGCAGGAGTCGTAGCCTCCAGACTCGCCAGGAGGCAGTGAGAGAGCCTTTCGGTGGCTGCGGACAGAAGCGGGCAGGGCAGGTCAGGTCAGGTCAGACTACTGTCGAGCAGTGAGCATCCTGTCAGGTCAGGTTAATTGAAGACTGGTCAGTCTGTTAGGTCAGATCAGGTGGCGTTCGACCATCCTTTCAGGTCAGACTAGATGATGGCCGGTCTCTCAGGTCCGTTCAGTGCTCAGAGTTCAGTACTCTCAGGCCAGATCAGACGGTGACCTACACATATACATAGTCAGATCAGACAATCCACGACCGGTCAGTCCACCACGCTTATTTTAGACAGTCGGGCCACTTAGGTCAGAAAAAGAACGACCAATGCATCAGGCGAGATTAGTTGGTTCGTCTTTATTCATCTTCGACCCTCGCACCTGGAGGGTCGAACGGATCTCTCCTTGGTTTTACGCAAATAACTCGCGCAAAAAGCAGCTGATTGCAACGAAAATTTCATTACCTTCGAGTTGATCAATTTTATACCTACCCCGAAAAGTTCATGACACTGACCCAAATTAATTTTGACCCGTGACCCGTTTCTGGAGACCATGTTTGGCCGGAATCGCCATTCGGCGTGTGTCGGCTCACATTATCCGCGCGTTTGCAGTTTTTTGTGTGATTGTAAACGCTCAAACATGTGAAATGATGTTGGTCCCATGGATTTGGTGGGTGTAAACGTCACGTCAAGGCCAGGCCAAGGTCATTGACCTCGGATTTCCTTTGCTCACTTTTTCGAGTTTTATCTGTTTCTACGGCAGTTTTTGGAGCTTATGTCGAATTTAGCACCCAATGAAACAAATACGAGGTAGTTTTGGTGCCTTCGTAACATGTAACGAAGCTGTCAGTGGTGGCTGACACCCACTACGGATAGCCAGCAGGACGCCTACTGGTCGACCTGACCTGAACTGACGCCATCGGGCCTAAATGCATAAAGACATCATCTCTGATCAAAACTCATGGCATGATATTCGAAATCAACAAAAAAAAAAAACTCATAAGCATAACAGCTTCACTTTACGACGTTCTAGCTAGTCCCGATTATCCTGGGGCTTCCTCTCATCACGAGCAACACGCTCGTTTTTTTTTTCACGAAGCTCTGGCTTGACCAGGAGCCAAGCGGCAGGGTGGTTAAACGGCCCTCCCCCTCCTTTTCGTTAGACGCTGGCAAAACACTAATAGCTACGGGCGAGGGTTAATTCATCACGGTTAGTACTGCCATGCCAACAATCAGCTCAAGTCGCGCGGCACATAACCGTGATGAGCACCGAGCTCTTGTGAGCTGATTGATAAAACACAGCGTGCTCACGGTGAGAAGCCGGGAAGTACTCGTAGTGTGATAAGCTCCCTCTGATACACTCCAATCGCGTGAGTGGTAAGCTGTGTACTGAGCCGTGTAAACCAGGGCTTTATCATGTGCGGATAGGATGTAAGTGCCTGTGTGTGCACACTGAACATAAGACGGCAGGTGGACAGATGAGCCGAAACCGTGTAAATGCTAAGCTAGGAGCATAGGGGTCGAGAGAAGAATACTTCTTATCTCTTGTAAAGACCTCACTGTAGTAAGTCGTAAGATTTAGGTACTCCCAACTGTTTGGTTATGATGTCATGGTATGTTATGTCATACATTTCTTTTTGTTCCGTTTCACATTTTGCTCATCATAACAAATATTTTCCCGGTCATTCCTGTTTATGGGTGATACTTTAGCCGCTCTGTGTCAATTATAAACCTTTTATCACTATCATTTACATACAGCCCACCGCTGAAGTTATTTGCGGTTTTACCAGCCTCAACAGACGGCTTTAACCCGGCAGTTGCTGGGGTATTTCGCCAACCACCGTTTGCTGGGGGGGGGGGGCGTTAAACGCCCCCATCCGATAACTCGAGAACCAATAGGCGCAGCGAAACGCACGAGGCAGCAAACGAAAGAGCGCGACGAGACGCTTCAGATGAGTACTTAAAAGTTGAATTTTGAGGTCACAGGTCGGGTCAAGGTCAGGTCAAACACCTGAAATCGGGCTTTCAGTAGCATGGACTTCAGGACTTCGCAATGGGCGCCTCTCGTCATAAACTCTGTCAAAACGGTGCACAATCCATCATATAAGGCCTACAAGAGTGTCAGCTCCATGTAGGGGTCAGTCAATCATAGGTCAGGGTCAAGGTCAGGTCAACCGAGTAGGCACATATGCCCGAAAATCGAAACTGATATTCTCAGCCTGTGACACATGTTTTATGGGTAATTTGGGGCGTAGAACACGATGGTGACATTCATTTTATCATATGTGTAGGGGAGACCCGGGAGGTATGGGCCGGTTTTGAGAAAAGGCAATTTTCGTCCAGTGGGCAGTGGCTAGACTCGGTATTTCACTCTGTGTACCTGAAATTGCCTTTCGCCTGCAACTTGTGCCTGATATTAGGCATCTGGGATCAACTATTTTGTCTCGAGATAACTTTCTATAAATCATGTGCTTTTTCGATCCATCAAAATACACCGGGAGGTATGGGCCATGGCCCGGGAGGTATGGGCCGGTGCCATGTTTCATATTCTTTTCTCGACAATGAGAATAATACTCGTAGCTGATATCCTACCTTGATCTCTCTTAGAACCCAGGCACCGCATAAGCGGCCAACAGCTTGTTTCATTGAGGTCACTTGGGCCCATATGTATTTTGGTAACCTCAACCATGCACCATGAAATAAGATAAATAATATTTTTCTGTTCGAATGAAATTTGAAGTTAAATTTTCGACCTTGCGCGACAAAAATAAAACTTATTGACGGGGACATTCAATGAAAGCATCTTTTTATTTATTTAGGATCACCGGGGGTGGGTGGCCCGAACCTCCCGGTTAGGACGCCAAAATGTGCGTAGCATCTAAGCTCATAAGCTTGCAAGAAAGCTTCATATTATCTATCCAGTCTTAATTTGCATTCTTTAAACTTAATGTTAGCGATGGTCTGATACCATAAAACGAGCCTGGTTCAAATTTATCACAAATTTTCTGTATGTACCGTATTTTACTCGAAGAGGGCAAAAACGCTTTATGACCGCTCATTGCCAAAGAAGACTGAGGAAGGTTTTGAAAATCACGTGGGATGTATAACGGAACTGCTGCTACCAGTTAACGCCGTCAAATGTGTAAAAATACGCAACACTTCTTCAAAACTGCGATGGCCCATACCTCCAGGGGGCCCATACCTCCCGGGTCTCCCCTACGTGTTTGGCTCAAAAATTTCAATTTAAGAAATGCATGTATCATGATCGTGAAGTAGTCACGAGAAATTGCCAAGATTCAGTTCAAGATTTTGGAAAATGCGGAACGATAATCAATAATCCAAGATAGCCATTTGATTTTTCATGGTATTGGCAGTCTAATGGCGTTTACGGCATGTCTGTATGTCTATTCTGTGATTTTATATGATTTTTTGAACATATGCCGTTTTTGGTCGAAAACTCAGAAATCATGACGTCACTAAAACCTGAATATCTCAAAAATTTTCTGACCGATTTTTTTTTTTGAAACTTTGTCACAATAAACTTCAATCAATTCCCTACAGGTACAGGTCTCGCGAGATTAAGCGGTAGGTTTTGCACTTTTACATTTCCGGTTATATCTCAGAAACTAATCGATCTACGATGAAGCCATTTTACACGATCATGGCCGGCTTGTTACCCAACAAGTCGATCGCATCTTCAACACTTAAAAGCTTAAGACGACGAAGATATAGCCTGAAGTACACTAAATTTTCTAGGTGCAAAACCTACCGCTAAAACCCGCGAGACCTGTACCTAAAATTTGGCGCGCCTGCGGCGCGCCGTTTTTATGCTATGGCCCGAAAAAGTGGGGGCGTTTAACGCCCCCCCCCCAGCAACTCGCGGGTTAACTGACGAATATTAAATACGGAGTGATCCAAGAGTAGATAGCAAAAGATACCTAAACAAAGACTTTTGCTACAAAGATAAATAGTACTTTTGTCTTACTTTTGCTATAAAGATAAATAGCAAAAGTAAGGATGACGATTCATGTAAGCTACATTCCAGGTTTCATTCTAGTCTGACTCTGGAAAATCCTTCCTAAGATACAGAAGCAAAGCATAACCACGACTGAAACCGCGCATTACGTCTGCGGTGGACTCTATTTACCTACCAACAGAATGTGTCTCATCATACGGATGAATGAATAAATAAATAAATAAATAAATAAATAAATAAATAAATAAATAAATAAATAAATAAATAAATAAATAAATAAATAAGTAAACGAATAAATAACTCCAGAAATGAGCGAACGAATCAAGAATATGATCTGAAAACGTTAAAATTTTCAAATTAAAGGGACTCTCCCACCTTCAAAAAAGTTAACGGATGGCTAGAGCCTATAAAAGTGATGAACCGTGGTTCAGAAAGAGCAAAAATGAATATCTACCAAATTTCACCGAAAAATATTCAGCGGTTTTTGAAATATTTGACTTATACTTTTGTTTATTTGCTGGAACCTTCCTGTTCCCAAGATTCCTTTACTACTGAGGTTGGTTCACTAGGGAAATAAAGGCGCCGTGGTGACGTCATTAGAGGAAATCCTTCACGTTCAAATGACGGGGTCATTTGAATTGCTGATTTTGGCTCGATATAGTCCTATTTTTTAGTTTCAGCCCCATTTATCGTAATGAGGCGAACTCATTGTTACATTGGTACAACTTTTGATGACACATAATCCTTGTTTTTTTTTTCTCCAGCTCGCTCGAAAGATGATGAAATTTGCATGCATGCATGAAGGGAGAATCTACCGCCGTGGTGACGTCACGGTAAAGGGATTCTGGAGCTCGTGAACAGGGGCTGACTGTTCCTATGACATTATTTGGAAGCAATAATTTGGCATCTTTAAAGTGCGGCACATTTTGCGAGCAAAGCAGCATATACCACCACAACTTTACAAAGGTTTTAATATGATATTTTAAAATCGCTAGATCTGCACTGACGTCACATATTCAGAGGGGGCATTCAAATGCATTAATTATAGGCTATCTGGTAATGCGTATCACCAAATACAGATCCGACTGAATTTAATTATCGCATTACAGCGTTTTATCTATGAAGGGGAAAGTAGGTAAGACGGCCAGGGTAGGTAAGACGGGCACCCCTTCTATGCAGACCAAACCAATAGCGCTACGAGCAAGAAAAATTAGGACCAGAATTGCCTTTCCCACTACACACCACCATTGAAGTCTGGTGAATTTGTGTTCAGTCAATAATCTTTTATTTTGATTTCTTTTAAAACACTCATTTCATTGAAAACATCAATAATGTATTGTGCAAGCTTTTCTGTGCAGCACTATACATAGAGGTAAAAACTCGCAATCACTTGTGGTACACTATCATGCCACCAGTGTTCATTTACCGCCAATTTGCTTTGTCTGCATCGAATTGTCCACAGAGAAAAAAACGTGCTGTACTTCTGACATTGAGTTTGGGGTAAGACGGGCAAATATGGATCAAATGAGTGCGTAATAGTGAAAATATTGTTTGTTGCTGTAGGAAAAAGAGAAGCATTTCTGTTCAGAATATGTTCGATTTCGATATTCACAGACATGTTAGCAATATTCCTTCGGCACAGTTTATTCTCGAATGATGAATGTGAAAACGGCTCTACAAGGCTTCTGAACTAGGGCCTATATACGAGCATACGCCTTATGCACGAATCTCGTATACTGCCTTTTCCGAAGCTTGAGACCAACGAGCGACTGTATCAATGCGGCTAATCTCGGGCATTTATTGCGAGCTGCGCTGGTCGGTGAAAGAAGCTGTAGCCGTTTTGCCCTGCCCATGTGACCGTCTTACCCCATGGGGTGGGGTAAGACGTTTTTTTTTTGCAAGGTTTTGCAAAAATGGCTGCAGTTTATTTGTCGAATCAGCTCTAAGTCTCATCTTCTGGCAAATGGAAGTAAAATGTCTAAAAAAGGTTTTCACTCAGTTTCCCGTTTCTACGGTGTTTCTAACCGGCCGAAAAATGGCCCCAAAGTTAAGGTGCCCGTCTTACCCCACTTTCCCCTATCATGCACCTATAGGTATGTATGCTTTAAACATATGCTCCACGCGGTGTACATTTAACTCATACATTCAACCAAAAACCTGTTGGTGACCGTTCGAAAAAAAAAACCTGTCCCAATTCGCGAACAGGGAATCTGAGAGTGCATTATCAAATCAAGTTGATCAGGCTCATCCAATAAGTGAAGTTGACAGAAATGGTAAAGGCTGATCCACAGCAGACGCTCGTAGTCTTATTCTTGTATTGTATAGTGTCTAATATTTAATCATATCGAAGCATACCTGGAGCGTGCACATCTAGGTACCTTTGCTGCAGACGGAATCCGTCAACGAAATCAGTCTTTTCCGGAGCTAAGGAAGGACAGATCCCAATCAAGTGCGAATTAAGGTAATTATAATTGTCATTAATGTCCTCCGAGGACCGAGACAATGAAGTACCGTAAAGTGGGGCTATTTGAGACAGTGGGGCTATTTGAGACAGTATTTAAAATCGCTATGCTATGAAGAGCGTTTGATTTTTATGTGATAGTTTTGCTCAGGAAGGTGTGGAATCGAGCAGTAAATCGCCTGAGCAAAAATTAAGCATAAATTTCAAACGGTTATTATTTTATAACAATTTTAAATACTGTCTCAAATAGCCCCACCTTACGGTACCTAACGATTTCATCATTTTCATGCAGCTGAAGACTTCCTGCCGCTCGTTCAAAACGTAGTTAGGTTCGTGAGAGCCAAGCGTAAGGAGAGCCTCCTTTTTCTACCCAAAAGGATCAGATCCGTTTCACTTGTACTTTTATCTTTCCATTGACATTGCAATGCAAGGTTTTTAATAATTAAGCACACCTACCTCACGCGGCACAAGTGGCGCATGACCAACAGCAGTGAGGGTGAAGAGCACACATTGCTTATGGGCATGGACGTTTAGCCCTCAGCAGACTGCGTGGTAGGTATTCTTTTTTGGACAAAACCGATAATAACTCAAAGGCTATGTTATCAGTCAGTCGGACCTCACTGCAAATAGAGGCGCCATGCTCCACTCCTTCGATTGGGTCTATCACTAAGCGAAATATACGCCTTGTGTGGCAATAAAATGCAAAAGTTTGTTTTGGGGACAAATATAAACGTTTGAGTTTTGTTGCCAAACTGGATGGAAAATGAATACGCCTGATAATGTCAATCTAAGGTGCGGAGTCTCACGCGTCTTGTTACGATTTCAGAGTGACCGATAGCATAGTATTCGCGTTATTCTCGGTTTTGTCGGAAAAAGAATGCCTGCCACGCAGTTTGCAGAGGGCTGTACCTACCTGAGGTCAGTGGAAGCTGTTTTGCCAAGGTTCAGCATAATGAAAATAAGTTGTTTGCGTGTGAAAAGTGTCACCATCGCTGAGACGGTTGAAAACACAAAGATTCCCACGTGTATCGGCGACAAATAACATCTCGTTTCATGTTTCTGGTGCAAATTCTAGCGAGTGTTGCTGCGAGTGTTCCTTTTTCTAGTCGGCTACCATCGAATAATGTCGACAACATAACATCGTCAGATAGTTATCTATGCCATGCTAGAAACGTTGTTTCTTAGAGAGAACAGGCATATTTGAATGCAAAATGCATTGTTTACGCCCGTGAGATGTTACAGCAAGGTGGCCCAGGAACTCAGCCACCTGGCTGAACCAGTGTAGTAGTGCTGGTTTGAGCTGCACCAGGGCTTCTCGCCAAAGGAATGAAATTATTAATTAGGGTCAAAGAATTGTGACTATCTTTGTCGCAACCAATTGACCAATCAACCTAATAATGGCAGCTGTTAAGCGTGGCGTAGCGATGCTTTTGATACTCATATAGTCAGTACTAAGCAACATAAGTCATAAATTTTGCCTGCTAGGTTCACACTTAACTTTTTCAAGCAACAGTAGGTATAATTGAAGCACCTACCGTATGTTATACGCAGCCGGACGTACGGGTAGCTGCGGTATCCGGCGCCCCACCCGGGTGGAAGTCCCCCTCGGCCTGGGCCTGCCGGTGTCCCCTTCCGGAGGAAGTCCCTCCTCAGCCCGGGCCGTCGGTGTGTTCGTCCCGTGCACCCACCCCGGAGGAAGTCCCTCCTCAGCCCGCGCCAGGCGGCGCGGTCGGCAGCTGCGGTACTCACGCCACTGAGAGGTTGCTGAGCTGCGGCACCCAGCACCAGTGGTCCGGTGTGGCCACGATGAACACCTGCTGGAAGGCTATGAACGCCGCCGGAATGGTGGCCGGGATGCAGAGCAGCAGGTACATGCCCAGCTGGTAGCGGCCCATCTGGCCAATCTCCAGCAGCACATTGTCGAAGTCGATCATGGCGGCGGTTCAATGTGCTGCCGATGGCTGCACGCTCCCTATCTCACCAGACTACTCACACTCGCACCTCAGACTCCGCTTGAGCACAGCACTGCACTCACCGTCACCGAGTTTTAACCGCATCGGGTTGCCGCTATCGAACTATCCTGCGATGATCGTCAAACATCCACTCATTCGAATCCACTGACTGACGATGTTCTTATTTGACTCTCTCGATTTCTCTCTCGCGCTGGCGCTCTCAAAAAGCTCGACGGCCACCAGCACCACGGTCTGATATCGCCTCGCTGGCGGACGCTCCCCCAAATCACACACAAACCCTTAGTCAAAGCTTCCTTCTCGCCTTCATCACCGACACTTGTACAGATATCCCATATCCGCCGCCGCGGGAACATTCAGTCGCCGTGTCGCACACACACTCGCGGAGGAGGGCGCCGGTGCGTCTCCGGCGCCGGCGGAGCTGGCACTGTCGCAGCGCGCCGGCGGCCAGTGTCGCGCGCCGTCTGCGCTCGCTCTCCGCACACGAATGGTGGCTGTCCTCTGAGCGAGAGCCGCCCGCGGTGCTGACGGCACGGCCGGCCGGCCGCTGGGGCGCCTCAGAGCGGCGTCGCACGCTGGCCCCGCGCCGGCCTCAGTTGTGCCGTGTCAGGGCGCCGCCGCCGCGTCCCCGTCCGTGTCGTCGCCACACGCCCGCCTCTGTCTCACCCCCAAGCGGCCTCGCCTCGCGCCGTGTCGCCCACCTGTCCGTCCGCACGGGACTTCGGAGAGGCCGAACACACGCCGCCGCCGCACTATTCCACGTGTAGGCTTGATGCGACGCCGTTCATGTCATAAATCATTGGAATAAATCACCATGAACCGGACACGACGCGAGCAGAACCACTGATGAACGCTCATAAAAACTCCTCCCTGGGCGATGGCGGGGCGCTTCCTGGTCGTTCCGCCCTCACGGAGTTCGGGGAGCGTGTCCAGGCAGAGGACCCTAGCGCAGACCGAGCTGGCAGGACCCCGCGCGAGCGACTCTGACTGGAGGGGAGGCTGGCGATGGGGCGGGCTGTGCGTACGGCCCCAGCGCGGCCGTCACCCGGCTAATGCTCTCAATAAAGCCGCCAATCACGGCTGCCGTCGGCACCGGCGGCCGAGGGCGGCGGCGCCTGGTCCTGTCAACAAGCCAGAAATGCGGGTACTCGGTCATACACCACGGTGACAGTCGAACAAAAGACACGCGCGCCCGCAGCTTGTGTGCGGTTTGAGGTGAATTGTGATTCAATGTTAATCTGATATGAATTGTCCTCCCGTCAGTGAGTGATTAAAGGTAGTGTGCCAGCTTTCTTGGACCGTATGGAGTTAATGGCCCAGATAAGGAGAAGCGGATTTTTAGAACTTATCCATACCTTCAAAACTCATGGAAACGTCTTAAATTCTTCAAATTTTGAGTACCCCAGTGCGAAATTCGCCCCGACGGGTTGTCGGTCGTACCCCAACCACATTTCACACCACTATGAACAATAAATGCACACACTGAAATCGCTATTACCGATATGCTCATCCAATCAAGTTTCGATAAACCCGTTCATCATCATCTCCTGCGGTTTCGAACACGCCTGTTAGGTGGCTTCTGATGCTCGTCGAGGTCGGAATTTCCAAATACGCGTGGTGCGTCGGGCCGCGCGCTCTGACTTCGGCCAAGAAAAATGCGTCAGCTGATCATTGTCATTTCTGCCACTTGCGTGTGGTGAAATGGGGTCATAACTTATAAGACGGCTTTTTCATATCAATTATTTTACATAAAATCATATTTCAAACCATAAATAATGTTCGACAGCCAAATAAAAGAAACAATACCAATACGGGCTTACAGTTTAAGGCTCGACATTGTGTTGTCTACGATTAGACAGCTGATAACTCATTCCCCTACGTCGTATGGTTGTAACACTATAATGACCTTTGCTTATTGTCACAAGTGCGCCGCATTCGCGATTGTTGCCCGACGCCTGTTTGCAGGTGAGCCCACTACAGTTGTTATACATATCTAAAAACCGAAAAACTTTTAGGCGAAAAAGGCACTATTCCAGGCCCATTTTTTGATTTTTTTTTGCGATATTAGGTAAAAACAGAAGCTTCTTATCCTAGGAAAAATAAAATGGGAAATCTTTCAAAGGTGGCACACTACCTTTAAGTCCGTGTAACTGCTATGTTTAATATCAGAGTCTGCATTCCTGATTTTATGAATTAATTTGCTGAAGTGCTTCATTTCATGCTGCTTAATTTCGACGACAGGCTACGTGCGGCCAGCGGAGAGTCAAAAAGCTAAAACTTGAACACCTGACAACTTCCTTCGCAAGCTTTTATTACGATATATGCAACCAATATTTCAAAGCCTCGAATTCAACAAATGATTGAAATAGTTCTGACGAAATCGTTGTAAAATTCATCGCAGCTATGCTTCCTTTCCCTATCCTACTGCGATTGAAAGCAGCTTCCTGAGAAATCGAAGCGATGAAGTCGTTAAGCCTCGACCTCGGCCACCGACAGCGAGGCGTTTTATCCAGATTTTCAGGCCGCGGTAATTACTGATCCCCACCTGCCCTCGCCCGTCCCTGAATGGCGTCGCGTCGGCCGGTCACAACAGGCCTCTGCAGACCAAGGTTATCATTAGTCTCACGAAGGCGGAGGTGGCTCCGGCCTGTCGCTTAGTGGCGTCACAGCCCGCCGTGGGCGAGCGACGCACGTACGGTGTCTAGACGCGACGCGATGCGACACAGGAGCAACAACGACAACGGGCGTGTGGTACCTATCGTGTGTAATATCGTGTTAAGAAGTCGCTGCGATGAATGTTTTAGGACTACGTTTTAGATCCCAGTAATGAACTTCCGTTAAACATGACGTTAATGAAATGGGATTTTCAGAGTTCGTTGGTACTCCATTTTTCCAAAATCATCATGAAGTTTTCATCTGCTTTCCATGCTATGCAGTATTAATGAGGCTACATACTCCTTTACCTCGTATCCGAAGCTTGGGTAGATATGGTCTCGATTTCGTCAAATCAACATTTTTCGTTAAGCCCTAACGAATATACGACGGGAAAAGTCTCGGCCCACGCTGCCATCCACAGACGTCCTTTACATCGCTTTGAGACGGCAGACGAAATGCCGTGCTCTGAGACAGACGGTCGCTAAAATAGTGTGCCTGCACAGAGAAGGGTTGCCGAATGCCGGCCGTCGGGAGCCGGCCTCCTACTTGACGATTCTCCGTCCGTCGCTCGGCTCTGATGTAGTGTGCACGTGCCCGCAATGTGGCATGGCCAACGACAGGTTGTAAGACAATTCAGACATTAATAATGATTAGATTACGATTTACCGATGGTATATCTGACTTACGTCCAGCTGTCACGACACGATGGGAACAAAAGAATTACGATATGCAATGAATGCAATCAGCAGTATGCCCGTCACGATAACTCAATAAATTATATCGTTGGATAAAAATAGACTGAGAAAGACCTCACACAGTCGAGAAAACAGGCAGGATCATTAAGTTAACTGCTTCAGGAAGTCATCAATCACTTAACTCATTCACTAAACAGCATCTGAGGGATAAGGGATAACAATGATTAGTCCGCAAATATTTCGGCTCCTTTCGTGACCATATTTTTTTTCAGATCGATAGAGTTCAGGAATACAGGTAGGCAGGGGTCAGCTGGTCGTCATAATTTGTCGTAAGCACCAACTTTGCCTCTCGGGGCTGGTGTGGAGTGCCGTTTCAGCCCGGCGGCGTGGGGTGCCAGTCCAGCCCGTGCGGCCCCCGCCCAGCGACAGAGACCGAGCGGGAAACGATGACGCGCCCTTCCGCCGGCCCATCGGCCATGACAGGGCGCTCCCGCTCCCGACTCCCGCTCCCGCTGCGGCTGAGAGCGGACACGGAGACAGCACGCGCCCCGCGCTACCCTGACCGGCACCAACAGCAAGGTATTGACCCTCACACAACACTGTCCCATCTAAGTCCGAGGTGTTGACGATGTTCACAGGAGAGAGAGAGAGAGAGAGAGAGAGAGAGAGAGAGAGAGAGAGAGAGAGAGAGAGAGAGAGAGAGAGAGAGAGAGAGAGAGAGAGAGAGAGAGAGAGAGAGAGAGAGATGTGGAAGCCTCTTTCTCACGGCCTACCGCTTTGAGTGACTTGTCAAGACGTTAACGTGTAGGCGAGTGTAGTAAAAGTTAATTACCATTGAATGACGCTAATTAGTACTAATGGGCATAATGGGCATTCGGCACTCTTGCGACCCACGTCCACGACAAAACCGATGGTCAGCGCTCAAACCAGCTAGCAAAGCTTAACGGAAGCCAGCATACCTGTGAATATTGCGATCATGAGGAGAATTAATGGAGTGGAGATGCTAAATAGCCCGCTGCTTGTCTTATGTAGATGTTGGCTAGCGGTATAAAAGTTTCGTAGAAACAATTACCCAAAAACGTCCAGACAGAGATACAACGATAATCGACCACATTCCTACTTTCTCCACACGACTACGCAGTCTTATAGCTATCGTTTGATCTCAGATTATGTCACCGTAGGGACCGGAGAGGACCTTTACAGCACGTGCGTACTCCGGTCGGATCGGCCGGGGCCGTCACGTGCTCTGGCTGTCAACTACTGTCCCGTTTTTCATATTTGGTCACCCCAGAGGATCAGTAGTAAATTGACTCTCCGAACAAGGTAGGCACTAGGCAGGTAGGTGAGCAGACTGGCACACTGGTTCTCCAATGCTTTTTCTACACTGAGTGAGCAGAAGCTGTCACAGTGGCTGTTTGGAAAGGACAGGATGGGAGGGAGATGGAGAGAGAGAGAGAGAGAGAGAGAGAGAGAGAGAGAGAGAGAGAGAGAGAGAGAGAGAGAGAGAGAGAGAGAGAGAGAGAGAGAGAGAGAGAGAGAGAGAGAGAGAGAGAAAGAGAGAGAGAGAGGGAAGGTGGGAGGGAGAGCGTGCTCTTTATTGGTGGCCCTTCACACAATCCTCGAGGCTCGAATATCAGTATCAGAGCTCCACTTATCCTCAAAGTAAACGCACCGTTCTTACGCAATGCACAGAGCTGGCAAGTGGACCAGATTGGTCAATGTCAGGCGACACTGAATGGTAGTGATACTGAGCCCATTCGACCGATCGTTCGGCTGACACGGCGTCCGTGCTCCAGAATACGCCCGAAGGCGGCAGCCGGGCGAACAAGAGCGATCTCCTAATCTAAAACAGTCCTCTCCATCTACCGAAGTTTTGACGAATGCTGAAACAGTGCCTTTTTTACGTTCATACTTCACGCTGCTGCTCGGAAGAAGTTAGCGTGAAAAGCTATGTAATTCTCCGGTGCATATTATTTCATGAAGGGTGTTTTCGCTATCTTTATGTTAACTTAAGTTGAACGTTATGTTCTGGTGGTAGGTATGCCGGCGCACAAAACACTGCTTTTGCTAGTCCGATGAAACAATCGCCACTAATATGAGTACAGCTCACTGACTCATAATTTATTAACAATCGGTGCTGAGCCACTCATCCTTGACAAATATCGTATCTAATGACCTAAGCTCATTCCATACGAATGCTAATTAAGGTTTTTCAATTAGCGAATGATTAATCAGTTATCCATACATACCTATCTTTATCTCGACAAAATGTGTTCCAGGAAACTGATAAAAAATATCAACAAGTTAGGGAGAACAATAACTGAACAATTGGTCATGCATGTAGCTTGACAAAATGTCAATGACATAAGCTCTTTTAGCTCTCTTTTTACGACAAGTTTAACCACCCTGATAGGTTTTTTGAGATTACGATTAGTTTGTTCATTTTTGTGACGATGTTCATCATTTCATAGGGCGTTATTGGCACTTAACTGTGAATGGACACGAAATATGATGGAATCTTAACTGTATCATCACACTCCCAATCGGGACGGCGATAAACTAAGGAATATATAATCTGTAAATATGTACCTGATATGCCTAGGTACACTGATACCTTTTAAGGCTCTATCAAAAATTGAAATTTCCAAGAGACCAAAGCTCCTTGAACGCACACAAGCAGACAGTCATGTCAGTCCCTCCCAAGACCTCATCGATCAGCTACCTTATTGCGCTTGAAAATTGCGTCAACAGTGGGTACCTACTTAGCACAGCAAACACACGTTCACCAAACATGGCCGCTATTCCAGCCGATCATTGCGGCCTAGAAACGTCTAAAGACGGTCTGTCATTCATTAACGATCCAAGGCACAAGCAAATAGCTCTGACGCACAGGACTTCCGAAAAGGCAGCAGCTCACTAGTTATATCCGCTTATGACGCAAATCCTGCTTGCTGGTAAGCCGTAAACCATCTATGTAATGATCTAGCCATAGAAGAAGCACCATGAGGCCAGATGGTAGACTCGACGGACAGACGGATGGACGGACGGATAAAACCGTTGACGGATGATGGATGGACGGATGGATAGACGATGTACTGATGGACGAACGAGCGGATGGGCGGACAGATGACAAGATAGACGGGCATATGCGCGGGAAGCTAGACGGCTAGACGGACAGACAGACCGTAACAGACGAAAAGACGAACGGACGGACGGACGGACGGACAGACGGGCAGCTGGAGGGTTGAGCGGAAGGATGAACATTTCTCGGGCTCACATCACACTGCTGATTACCCCAACCTAATTTTAGCCCCTTTTTAATATTTTACCCACCACTCGAAGTTTTGAAGAGTCATGAAGCCGATATGAACTACATATTAATGTCTGGAAACGTGCATGTTAAAAGCTTTAAGTCGAAGCTGCAGAAAGCTGAAGCTGTAGTTGTCCACAAAAAAAACAATAAAACATCTAAGATAAGAACAATGCCAGCCTCGCCTTCCCTCACACTCCGAACAGATGCCGGCACCGGCGCACCTCAGTGGTCCGTCTGAGCTCCTGGTGGCCTTGGCCCACATTTTGCTGAGAGTGAACGACAGAGGGAGGGCGACACAAGGAAGCATGATAGGTAAAATATCACCTACAGGAGTGGTGGCAGCTGGACGCATAGGTCGTGTCTCGCGGTGATCTCTGGGCGAATCCACACCAATGCCAGCGAGTTTGGAGAAAACATTGGAGTCTCTCGAGCTCCTGTAATACCACATCTGGCCATAGGTCATTAACTTGAACACAATCTTACAGACTGCGATGTTTTAGTTTCGTTGTTGCGCTGGCCGTCCGTGGCCGCAGCAGGACAAAGATATTTTCCACCACCCCTAGGAGTGTCGCCAAATGGTCAGTCATTCCAGGGCACCTCACGCCGGCAGTGGTCGGTCCTTTGCAGCGTTTACTTCACATCGCATACCTAATACCTATACATAGGTTACCTATCATTATACAAGCTTAGCGAACAGCCTCAGAGAATCAGAGGGTCCGGTAATTTGCGAAATGCAAAGCTCATCATCAGCAGAGAGAGGTCGCCTGCGCCAGTAATTCGACGATCCACTCACCTCCGTGAACTCTGAACGGTCTACGACGCGTGTCCCAGGTGTGAGGGTCGCCGCTGGCCCCGTCCCACCCCTCACCGGAAAAGGCCCTCGGTCGGACTCGACCCCCACCGACCCGACCGCCGCAGCACTGGGAGCTCGCAGTGGGAGCCCGACCGGCCAACGCAGCTCGCGCGCCGCCCATCAAACTACCATCTGTACCCATGAGAGTTCGTTGAGGCTGACGAGGCGGCGCCAGCGGACCCTCCGCTGTGCGCTGATATTGCCGGCTACTGCGAATCACGACTGATGCCGCCACTGCTCTGACGTCATTATATGACGTGTTTGTGACGTCATTGGCCTCGGGCAACAGCCGCAGCGCCGGTGGCCGCGTGTCATGGGCTGAAGAACGAGCTGGGAGAAGTGGCGAGGTCAGAAGGGAGCCAATGACTCGGTGGACGTGACGTCTAACGAGCACCGAGGAGTGGCCGCAATCGGTGCGGTGACGAGTTACTTCCCAGCGCGAGCCATTGTTCTCAAGTGATTAAAGAAGATGACGCTCCTGCACAGGGCTTTCAATGGGCTTTACGACTGTTGCCAAGTGTTCCATGCGGCTGTAAATTGAGCACGTGAACGGCTGGCGGCACTGCGCTGGGGTGGCGCTGGGCGGAATCGGGTGGGTCCATGTCTAATCTCAGCTTCTGTTAGTTTTTGCACGGAGGGCAGACAAAACTATCCGAGTTCTGTGATCTGTCCAACCTCAGTTGGAGTCAAACTAGTTAGGGTGGTTCTGTCCGATGTCAACTAATGTGATCAATGTCACATGCTCTCTTCTATTACAGCTGGTTATGGTCTGCTCGTTTGAGCGCTATTCAAGTTTCACTGGTCCAATATAAATGCGAAAGTGTCCACTGAAGCTGCCATGGAGTGGAACCATATCTATAGAATCGGTCGGGAATCCAGAAATTCTGCATGCTCTGTAGGTATACCAGACCCTATGCCTACCTATACCTACAAATGATAATTGTTTGACCCAGAGGTATGGTCATTGTCTAAAACTAAATTTAATTTTAATGCCCTTCGAATATCACTTAAACATAATGCAATTTGATGCACTAATTTCCACAGCTCGTAGGCAGTTCCTGAAAATCAACAAAATCTAAGGTGCCGGTATACGGGAGGCGTCTCCTCAAGGTCCCCGGGTCGGACGTGGGTGTCGGCCGACCGATGAGGCCCCGCGATAAGCGCGATAGGCAGCCACGCCGCGGCGCCCCGCCCGTGCCGATGAGACGAGCGCTGACCGGAGGCGACAGGACAAAAGGTGGCGAGGCCCCGATAGCGCGCCTGCTGTCCGCTCTGGCGTGATGCCGCTCGTCTGCGCCGTCACCGCCGCCGCCGCACCGCACATGTCCCCGCCGCGCCGCACACGTCTCCGCCGTAGACAGCTCAGTGTAGGAGTGCTCGAGGAGCGAGCAGTCGGGCACACGGCTCGGTACAAACCAAACACTTGACTGCTCAACGGTCGGTAAAAGGAGTCGACCGTGAACATGATGACGCAGATATTTTTGAATTTCGAATCTTCGTCATGGATCCACTGGGGGGTTACCAAGTGGTTAAGAATGTTAGCTCAGTCAAGATAGGCGGTGGCAATTGAATTTATCGGAAAGGGGGTGATGGCCCGAGTTCGAGTTGCTCCGATCACAGCGATTCGTCTCTGACGGGACCGGCCCGCGGTCAGAAGTGGTGGTCAGATTACTGGCTTGGGGAACTACTGCAGACCGAGACCTCAGACTCCTTGATGGAAGTGCCAGCTTATGGATTCATCGGAATGATGCAGAAATGCATAAACATGACTCTGGTTTATAATGATTCATGCCCCTGGATTGCGGAATAGCTCAATATAGCTACAGTCAAATTTAATGGAGCTAGACAGCAAATATTTTAGGTACAAACCCGTTATACTTTATAGTTTATATGACTATGGGGTACGACATTCGGTCCGTTAAATGTGTATTGCTTTGATTCAATTTCAATTTGCGGTCGTTTCAGCCATTGTTGTCGGCCCCAAAGAGCTCTCTCGCCGGCTTCCGCACCACAAAGATGAGCCAGTCCAGCTCCAATGTTCCAGCTCAGTACCTCAACCCAGCGTCAGTGGACTAACCTGCACCACCTATCCCGAATTCCAGCGCAGGTTCGTCGAATTAGCCAGCGCGGCTGCCGTATCGCTCGTCTCAGCTGCAGAAGAATGTCTTCTGAGAATGTTACGTCCAATCGAGTCGATCTCTGGCTTCGTAAGCAGGTGCTGATGAGAGTATGTAGTAGCCGGACAAAGCTGGTAGTGAGCGGATGCAAAGCGGACAACGTGTTGGCGTGATGAACGGCGGGTCTTATATTTCGATCTACACGGCGTGACGCAATAGTTCGATGCAGCGACACTGAAAAGCGGTGTAGGTGCTGCAGCTTACAGCGCCACCGAGTCTGAACGGGGGGTGTAGGTGGAATTCCGGGCCCCTTATCTTTGATATCGCCAGTGACAGTCGGGCGGGTGGCAATCAGTTGGTATACGTGCCACTTGGTACTCGTGGGTGTATGCATCGAGCCGTTGTCACCACTTCGGATTATCAGCTCTTGCAGTGTGCTTCACTGGCCATAGTACACGCAACTCGTAATGCATGAGCAAACCTATCAGTAATTTGAGTTTTCAAAAGAAATTTTGTCCGAATGGACGAACGGGTGGTTGTGGGTCCTAGCAATTTCATAAAGGGTCCTAGTTTCATAAAGGTGAAACGTATAGGTATGCTACAAATGTCGTGAGCCCATCGGCATAGGTTATACCAGTGCGCTCTCGAAGTTGCTCGCATTGTATGGGACTATGTCGTGTACGAGCAAGAATTTAATAAAACTATCACAATGGGCCACATCACGTAACATGCCATATTTGTAAAATAGAGATCACGATAGTTCAAATTGTGCGACAGTCAGTGTTGTTGACCCGTGTTTTTGGAAAAAAGGGTGTGTCCGGTTGTCGTGGTCAGACAGAAAAATAGGCGGCGGGTACTGCGACTCTGGACTGCTCAGCACGCCAGCGATGCGGTTCCGGTTCCTGAATGACAGGCTGACACGACGGCGCGACATCTATGGAGCGGTAGGTCTACAGACGGACCTATTGCGTAACAAGGAATGGGTTCTCATTATGATGGACAGGATATTAACACTCATGCACGTACCTATCTGTAAAAGCTGCGAGTCTCTAAGACTAACTGCTGCCTAAGTTCTGCCTTGTTTATATGCCTATGATTGTTTGTACCCCTTAATTATTACGAAACATATTAAATAAGAGTTCGTACTTAATTCACAGTCATATACACAAAATTTTGATATTATCCGGCCTGTGGCAAACCCACTATCCACTACCCCGAGGCTAGCCTACCCTGAAAGCTGATCTCGCTGGCAGTAGGTAGCAGTCACGGCCAGTCAGTATCGGCCCGGTCACACCACGGGGCTGGTCACCGGCAGTCTCAATCACGGGTCAGTGACCTGACAGTTCACACCAAGACCGGAGTCGCAGCGCACGCGGCCACCCGCTGTCGGCCTCACGGCTGTCTGGGAAGGCCTCTGCTCAACGCAGATACCACCTCACAGACGGAGAGGCCTGAGGCAACCTCGGCACCCCTCCCCCCACGACCCTCTCCACTCGGTGTGATAGTCTAGGCATGGGAGGGGGGGGGGGGCACGGCGGCGGTCCTTATGATTGTGATACAGCCTGTATCAGTCGGCGCGGAGAGGAGACGCAGCCGCGGCTGAAGACGGCCGCTGATGCAACGGTCGTTTGTCCGTCCGACCGCACCCGTGACCGCACCCTCAGCCACACCCCTGGCTACGTCACAGTCGGAGAACTCCGCCGCATTGTTAACGCAGCGGTCATCAGTTTGTTTGCGTTCCATGTCATCATTGAATCGACACGACCTTTACATTTCACTCGCATACTGATGTCATGTTATTCTTTCTCAATATCTATAAGACTGTCACCATTTTATCATATCACTTATTGGTTCGTTCGGCTTTGTATTCTTGAAATAAATGAATGAATGAATGATTAATTATTACGCCCATCTTGTGACGTTCGTATCGCTATTCTTCGCCCTCATTGCATTTTGACAGGATCACCGTTCCAATTATTGACCACAGCTAAGCGTTTTTAGCTTCTCTCTCATTTAGCAAAAAAACAAAAAATGTCCTTAGAAAGGAGCTTTCCTCACATAAAAAATACTACGCATAAACTGTTAACGTTTAGACGCGTCCGACTATCTACTTTGGAAATCAAACCAGCACTTTAAGAATGAGAAATGGCACAAAAAAGCAAATAAAAGCGTTCTTTTTGCATCCTCGTACAACGCAGCTACTTTACAATTACGATTTAATTGCAATTGCGTATGTAAGATGTTTTAATAACTTTTATCAACGAACAAATAGGCATGGACTTTTCCATCACACGCGCTTTACGGAAAAGAATACAGCCTGATAAGCAGCATCGATATTCATTCATCCTCGAATGTGTTTACCCCTCATCACACATACAACCTCTCAATAATGCGATACGTTCCGGCTCCCTCGCACACCACAGCACACGGTGACCGATGCCCTGCGTCTACCTCCGCCCACCGTGGCGCCCATAGCGGTGACGGATAGTGCTGCTTCGGTCGGAGCACCGCCCCACGACCAGCGGCGGCGCATTGTAGTTAGTGGCCCACCGAGTACACACGACCGGGCGTATTTGCCGACAGACGAATGGTCCGCCGCGAAACGCGCTACTGCGCAGTCAACTAATGACCTGTGTGTTTACGTATGATGTTATCGACTAATGCCAGATGATCGCCCAAGTCTGTTCACAGCTACGACATAGTGCTAGGTTGATCGTCGTTTGTTCTGTGTTGTGATGTTGTTCGTTTGTTCTGCTCATGACTCGAAATGTTCACGATCTAATTGGATTATTGCTTTAATTGTTGTTGTTATTTTATGATACCTAAACATGAAACAGGACCTCTACTTTTTACCAATAATACGTCGGGACAGACTTCTCTATAAATAGCAGCGTCTGCAGTCGAGACGTCTGCAGCTGGTGACAATTACGACCCCGTGCCGCGATCAGCCTACATTTGTTCGTGATCATCGTGGTTATCCAGATCCAGGATGTCACAGGAAGAGCCGCGCAGTATTTCCGTCTAATCGGTCCCACCTCCGCAGCCTGAGCACCCCCCCCCCCCAACCCCTCCCCCCAGGACCACTCGGCACCGTCCCACTCTGTCCGCCCCGTTCCCCGGTCTCGTCCGCAGACGCCTCCTCTGGCCGAGATGGTCCGACGGTGCGTGACGTCACTGCGTCGCCACCGACGCGCGTCGGCTCCGTCGGCGGCGGCGATTGATCGGCGGGCGGCGCACCGGCGGCCGCAGTCTCGGCGGCCGGAGCGCCGTGGACTGTGGAACGCCCTGGTGTGAAACGGACACAGGGGGAGCAGTGCTGACTGGATTGATTGGGAGAGGGTTCTATGGTTCGAGTTTCAGCGGTGTTGAATTTCAGCTTGGACTTAAAGCTGGCTTTAAATGGCTTTATGATTAAAACGGTTCTGATCAAGTCAGTGTAAACCAGGTGCTTGAAGAAAACGGGCAATAGATAACATCACCATAACGTTTCATAAATGTCATTCGTGACGAAGGCGTGGTAGCGCGCAAGTTATCACGCTCGATTATCAGACCATGGCGCCGCTTAGAAAGTGCTGGACTTGAGGTCCATCAGTGACAGCTCTCCGAGGAGCACCCCCTCTCTGGCACAATGGAACCTGCATATCGTCGATAGGACACACGCTATGTGATCAGGTGAGTGGTGAAAGGATGCCCGGCTTGAAGTGAACATGTCTAGGTATCCGAAAGTTCAACATTCTAATCCAATGTCACGTCGCATTTAATGAAAGGGATGAAATCAGTTTTATACGAGCTTATTCTTTAGCGAGATTGTGATGAAGGGATGTTTACACCAATTAATTAGCTAAGCACTCATCAAAACCGCGTCTAAAACTTTTCAAGCTGTCTTAAAAGTTACCATTTAAACGCTTAGAAACGCCTTTTACTTAGGTATTGATAGATGCATTGGCGGCGGCCAGATAAAATTAAAATGGAAAACCATATGCCAATATTAAGGAGAAAATTGTAAGAAACGAAAGAGTACTGCATGATAACTTTCACAAAACAGGTAAGAATTTCATACTCGAGAACGTTTCCAAACATTTTCCCTGTGTAGCCTCGTGACCGTGATTCTCATCCATTCGTTTCCTGAAGGTCTCCTCTCACTTTGCTGCAGGTCTTCTGAATATTTTCTTTTCTCGCTGCAATTCAGCTGCCTCTCTTTGCTCCTATCTTCCTGTAGGCTCTAGCACTCGGGGTTCACTGCAGGTCACCTGTCGTGGCTGCACGGCAGATCTCCCTTCGTGCACCAGTCCAATGAAGTCGACAGGCGCCGCGGTTAACTGGCAGTAATTGTGCGCACCATCGCCGGTAGCGCAGTGTCCGTCTGTTCACCCAACTCAGAGGTCGCGTCTGACATGGCCTCACGTCGATAACGGTGGCGCTTATGCTAATGTCCATGCGAGCGGACGCAATGGGCAGAACCTTTCCATCACAGCTCTACGGCCATTGAGTGGGACACGCAAATCTGCAGGGCGGTGTCAGTGGGCGCGGTGTCTGTGTCCCTGCTGTCTGCCGGCACACCCCTGATGGTATTACGACCACTTCTGCTCGGAGCTGAAGGTCGTAAAACGACCAGAGTTATATGAACCATTATGTCACCGGCCGGCCCGCTTTGGTTGCCGTAACCTCCGTGCACTGTCTGCGTGCCGGGCCACTCCCAGGAGCGCGCGGGCCGAGTGGCCGCTGGGGACCGCGAGCTGGCGATGCGGACAGGCGCTAGTCACGGATTCAGACAGGGAGAGGCGTTTTCCTTGACCATGGATTGGGAAAGGCGACGTGCCTTCTGATAGCCCTACAATGATTTCAGTAGGAGGACGTGTATTTTGTCGGGCACGGATTTGATCAGGACAATGCGTCTACTGTTCGTTTTAAAATCGGGCGAAACTACGCTGGCGAGTAGTCAGCCTAAAATGCTTCAGGTAGAACGAGGTGTCTACTGTTGTCTATGGCTTTGCACAGGGCCAAAAGTCTACTTTGACAACGGATTTTTGGAGCTACCGCCCCATGGCGCGCAGTGTCCGCCGGGCGCCGCACATGCCGTCCGCCGCCGGTCCGCACGCCTGTTCTCCGGTCATTCCTCGTTCGGTGCCGTTCCGTGCCGCGGCCAGTCACAAAATACAGACGAGTGGCGGAACCGTGCCGCGGCCAGTCACAAAATACAGACGAGTGGTGGAACCGTGACGTGGCGCAGTCACGGTGCGGTACCGTTCCAAATGTCAGAATGTGACCTTACACAGCGAGAACACGACGAGCTCTCCAGATCTCCCACAGCGAAACGCTGAAATGAAGCTCATTTCGCCTCAAAAGAGCATCAAGATGTTGCCGACTAACGTCATACAATTTGGAACTAGAGCAGAAATTACATTTGTGGCCAGCCAATAAATCATTAATTCAATGTCTGTGCTGGGCTTCCACAGGATCAGATTATATGTGCATGACGTTTCTGCTCGATTATTATACCTTTTACAGCAGGTTGCTGCACCTGTTCAGCGGAAACGACCACGGTACCAATAGCGTTTCAATGTATCGTATTGATGCATCCAGTTCGCAAATGAGAATTTAACCCGGCAGTTGCTGGGCCGCTGGGGTATTTCGCCACCCGCCGTTTGCTGAGGGGGCGTTAAACGCCCCCAGCCGATAAATAGGCGCAGAGAAACGCACGAGGCGGCAAACAAAAGAACGCGACGAGACGCTTCAGATGAGTATTAAAATTGAATTTTGAGGTCACAGGTCGGGTCAAGGTCAGGTCAAACACCTGAAATCGGGCTTTCAGTAGCATGGACTTCGGAACCTCGCAATGGGCGCCTCTCGTCATAAACTCTGTCAAAACGGTGCACAATCCTTCATATAAGGCCTACAAGAGTGTCAGATCCATGAAGGGGTCAGTCAAGCATAGGTCAGGGTCAAGGTCAGATCAACCAGGTAGGCACATATTCCCGAAAATCTAAACTGATATTTGCAGCCTGTGACATATGTTTTATGGGTAATTTTGGGCGTAGAACACGATGGTAACATTCAATTTCATTTCATCATAGGTGTACGTCTTTAGTTCAAAAAGTTCAATTTAAGAAATGCATGTATCATGGTCGTGAAGTAGTCACGAGAAAATGCCAAGATTCAGTTCAAGATTTTGGAAAATGCGAAAAGATAATGAAAAATCGAAGATAGCCATTTGATTTTCCATGGTATTGGCAGTCTAATGGCGTTTACGGCATGTCTGTATGTCTATTCTGTAATTTTATATGATTTTTGGAACATATGCCGTTTTTGGTCGAAAACTAAAAAAACACGACGTCACTAACACCTCGATATCTAAAAAAAAATCGACAGATTTTTTTTTAAAAACTTTGTCACAATATACTTCAATCAATTCGCGCTGTTGTTATGCTATAGCGCGGCGAAAAAAAGGGGGGGGGGCGTTTAACGCCCCCTTCCCCCCAGCAACTCGCGGGTTAAACGAAGCTAGCGATTTTGTGCCAGCATCTTGTCATGAGCAATTGCCTAAAATCGCATTCATGGGTCAGGTCAGGTCACCGACTTAAGTCATATACTCGCAAGTTCTAGACCTCTGCATGATCCATGTAAATGTCGCAACTTGAAACTCTCAGTGCCAGGGAATCTTGAAAGAAACTTTCAGTAAATAGAAAGCTTCTGAATCCCTACAAATTGTTTCCATGACAGTCACCTGTCAAGCACCAGATCACGTGTCAGGTATGCCACGTAACCTTTTCATTATAACTCAGCAGGGGAAACACGGAAACTGCTTATTCAGCGCTGGTTTTCGTCAGCGCTGCTTTACTACTACCTCATGCACGTGAGGTCGTATTTTCTTGTTCATTTATTTTCATCTTTTATTTGTTCTTTTTATTTACAATTTAGACCTTGCATGACGTCATACATTTATCATGTCACTTAAGTCATTTGATGTCGTCAGATTTCTTTTACAAACTCGCAATCTAATTTACCCTCGCCGGACCTTTGGTTTTCTATCATATTACATACATTGGTACATCCGACCTTTGGCCAAGCCGGTGCGTAGGTTGGTATGTTGGCCGAGTCGGTACGACCCCCTCGCAATTTCACTCCCAATGGACCTAGAGGCTCGCGGGAACAAACGGGCGTGCGTGCCGTTACGACACGCAGCGATTGGTACCCGATCACCCGATGTTAGAGTTTCAGGCCAACCGGTGACCTCTAAAGTCAGGTCAAGTGACCCAAGGCACGGGTTCGTTTGTTTTTGTAAATAACTTGCCAAAAATGGTCGCAGAGCCGCGATTTTGACACAATCGTATTCTCCATGCTCAGGCGCGTCGAATGGTATACGTTTTGTTCGGATGAGGTCAACTCAAGGTGTTGACCTCGGGTCAAGGTCAGGTCAGAGCCCTTCAGGTCACGAAGTTGGTCGAAGGAGGTCATAGAGCATGTCATTGGACTCGGCAGGTCTTCCAAAGTCCATTGGTGACTTTCTCAACTCACTAATTCAATTTGATCGGGAGTTGGCCAAAAACTCATATGACCTGTGTGATGTCATAAGTGTCGTCACGCAAAGTCAACCATGCATAAGTCAGTGAAGCATCGGACCTTGCAAGGGGTGCCTAAAATCACAATTCCTTGTTCTTGAGATAGTTGTAGATCATTCCCAGCACCAAACTAACAGTTTCCATATTTTCCCGTTGACTTCACTACATATAATGGTGAGGTCACGTGACCGACCTGACCTCAGGCGACCCTTAGGAAAAATCCGAGATATAAGAGTTATAACAGCTCTCGAAGATAGGGGAAAGTGGGGTAAGACGGGCACCTTAACTTTGGAGCCATTTTTCGGCCGGTTAGAAACATCATAGAAACGGGAAACTGAGTGAAAACCTTTTTTAGACATTTTACTTCCAGTTGCCAGAAGATGAGACTTAGGTAGAGCTGATTTAACAAATAAACTACAGCTATTTTTGCAAAACCTTGCAAAAATCCGTCTTACCCTATGGGTGGGGTAAGACGGTCACATGGGTAGGACAAGACGGCCAGCTTCTTTCACCGACCAGCGCAGCTCGCAACAAATGCCCGAGATTAGCCGCATTGATACAGTCGCTCGTTGGTCTCAAGTGCTTCGGAAAAGGCAGATTCCGAAGTGCAGAAGGCGTATGCTCGTATATAGGCCGTAGCATGGATTAGAGATAACTGGATGGGGCACTCCGGCGACTTTAGCGTCACACGGCCGTTATGCGCATGCGCGAGGAACGTACACGACCGCGACCTTGGCGCCTGTTGTAAACTCAATGGCGGAGTGCTTTGCGGCGATCATTATTTTGCTTTTACGTGTGATTACGTGTGTTTAAAGAAGAATTTGGGGCGGCATATTTTATATTGAAAGGTGAGGAATGCAGTGAAGGTAAAAGTTTGGTCCCAATAGCTATAATTGATGAAATAACGCCATGCTCTGAAAACAACACCTTTTTGGCAAGAAGCATAAATCGGTGAATATCTCTTTGATACGGTAGGCAGTGGCGGCGGAAGGTATTCTAGGATAGGGGTGCAAACGATATTGAAGCGCCCCTTCCCGCTGGGCGCCCCTTACCATTGCCGGGCGCCCCAGGAGAATGAATGTTACACATCAACACCAATATGCCTCCCAGTGA